CTCTCTCTCTCTCTCTGCCTAGCTGGAAGTCCAGGATGTAATGGCCCTGACTGATAGCTTGGCCCTGTTCACCAGACGTCGCCGGCATTCAAGGCTTGAGCTCTTCAGTTGGGCCTCCCAGTGGTCGGCGCTAAGTCCCGTGATAGGCGGTATCAATGGCATTCGCCCGCGCTCCCTTACCATAGAGTGGAGGATATTTGTCGCCAAGCAGGATGTATGCAGTCGTTTTGGTACGTTGAGGGATATATTGAGTGCAAGAGTGTCGCTTGACGGAATATGCAAGTGTAAAGTTTCGGGAACAATACCTTTTATAAGGTTAGGGTGTGGGATGGGTAAGACCTCCTACTCGCTTTGCAATGACTCAGAATGTCTCCTTTTCTGGATGCTTTCGCGTGCGTCAATTAGGGCTTATGGACCTGATGTGGAACTTGCAGGCGCATGTAAATGACGCTAGTTTAAATAACTTGGGGGAAGTTTTATATATAGAAAGGGACATGTGTGATGTGGGCAATCATTTTTATGTAAGCTGGGAATGATCATAATCATTATAATATTTTGGATAAAAAAGTAAAGATCACTTCCCCTGTGATCATGTTGCATTCGGTGTCAGTGGCTTTCTTTGGTGATATCTCAGTTGGACATTCCCATAAAGTTTAAAAAAGAAAGTAACAAACCCGGGCACCCGCTCTCCTAGGTCCCCTATATATTCTTTATTCAACACCCCATATGGTACAGTATGACGGCGGCACAATCAATCGGACGTGACACCGAGCGCGGTGCGCAACGCATCTTCTCACGAGAACAGGTGGACGGGATCAAAATACTCAGTGATCGCATTGCAGTCAGCCGAAGATAATAATACTCCCACGTTCACGCGAATTCGATGTGACCCGATGTATATCGCCTATGACATCCGCCGCATATCACGCACGTCTCCCGCGAAAGATAGCGGCATCATCCTGCGTCGATAACGTGTGCGCGCGCCGCCTTGGCTGGCGCCGCTGCGCGTCTACGTGTTAACGCGCAGGGTGGCACCTTGAAAGCGCGGCCTTTCCACTTTCCTCGATGCACCTGCCGCTGTGCACGACGTGCCCCCGACGACAAAGACGATACGCGACCCGCAACGTGAAGCAAGGGTCCGGTCCCGATAAGATACGCACCTCGACAGGTTCCTCCGTCTCATCCTTGCCCCGTGCCGATTGCGCGAGTCGTCTGACATATCCGACACTGTAAACGTAGCCGTCAGCATCCTTCAGCTCCGATGAACACTCCGAGAATTCGCGGCTTAAGCGCTGACAAACCGTGGGCCCACCGAAACCGCTACTAGCAAGCCGGACTGGAGTGTCGACTGACTGTGTAACAAGGACCATCGGCGTGCAGCCGAAGAGCCGAAGGAATAGCACCTTTCGCTTCCAAGGCAGGTATTTATAGGCATGCGCACAGCCTGTGATCATTTGTACTCCTGGTCAGACCTGGTAGTAGTGTCTATTCGCTTCCTCTGACTGATGATGATTGATATGTGGGGTTTAACGTTCCAAAACCACCATATGATTATAGGAACGCCGTGGTCGAGGGCTTTTTGGACCACCCGGGATTCCTTCGAGTGTACTCGAATCTGAGTAGACGGGCCTATACAGCCTTTTCGCCTCCATGGAAAATACAGCCGCCGCAGCCGGGAGTCGATCCCGCGACCTGCGGGTCAGCAGCCGAGTACCTTGACCACTATACCACCGCGGCCGGGCTGTATTCGCCTTTTCTAAACACTCGTATTTGGAATGCAACCGCCGGTGTCTGACGTCCCATAACCACGCCGCGAGGGGCGCCGTAGTGCAAGTTTTGACCATCCGATGGTCTTTGACGTGTCCTGACATCACACTGTACTCGAGCCTCTATATCGTTTTGCCTCCACCAAAATGCGACCGCCGCGGCAGGCGTCGAACCGGCGACCTTCGTGTCCACAGCCGCGCGTCGTAACCAATACACCACCACGACGGACTATTTGGAAAAAGCATTCGTGTTCGGCTATAGTATGTCGCACTGTGTAAATTGGCCAGCTCACAGAAGTTCTGCAACTCCCAATGTGGACGTTTTGATTACGTATAAAATTCCTCTTACTACGTGAAGAAACAGTGTGGAAAGTTTAGGCATTCTTATAGAAAGATATTTGTCTTCACTTACAATGCCTTCAAACTCGTGATAAACTCTGGAATTGGGAGATGATGATATAGATTACTGTCATCATTGTCTTCACGTCACTTCTGTGGCTTGTGACTTCCACTTGTATTTATCTGCTGTTTCGTAAAAGGTGAACTGCGACTGTATTTACTTTTATAGGTGATGTAGATCGTCATGCTTGACATGGTTTGCCGGCAGGTTTCGACCTATATATTGGATAATCACTGACGTCAGCATCACGCCGTTATGCACGTCATAATATTTTTTTTATAAATTGACTTTGGTAGAACGGGCGCGAATAACTAATATAAAGTTCACGATTTGTAAGTGGCAGCTGCGAACAAGGAGATAGTGCGTTTTCACTTTACACAATCTCAGTTTATTCCCTGTGCCACGTGACAGGCGTCCTGGGGGGGGGGGGGGGGGGAGCTTAAGTTATAGCCTATTGAATACAAATGCAAGTCAATACGATACAGACGCGGATGAGCCTTGAAGTGGGCAAGACCAGGGATATACAGGACGTGAAATGAGCATTAAAAAATAGTGTTTGGGTTACAAACAAACGAACTACGATCACAATTCGAGGCTTTCCTTCGGGTTTGGGCATCCTGGTCCGGGAGAATCTTGAACTATATTCTAAAAGTACCGACCATGTTTTTCTTTATATTTTTCAATCTTACGCGAGAAAATTTTAAAGGGACTCTGCGACACTTTTTGAGCATGTTCACAAAACACTGCCGATGGGTATAGTCGAGTGTCTGGAGAACACGCGAGCCCAATGTTATAGCGCAGCACGCGGCCTGGAATTCACAAAAAAAATCTCTGAGTCAGCCAAAAATAACTTTCTTCTCTCTCGACAAATGACGCTGCAAGCTCAAAAATCACTTCTTACCGCCATTGTATCAACCGTTGGTTGATTTGAGCATAGCGTGTTCTGTCGTTACTGGGGTGGCCCCGTCATGTCCACGCGTGTGTGCACGATCACACGGGGAAGGCGCATATTCGAAGAAAAAAATAAAAACGCTAAGGCCTTGAGGCACGCCTGACGTATTTTTTCCCCGTGTCATCCCCTCTACTTAACTTCTAGCGCTTTTGTCGGGACAAGAGAAGAGAGAATGCCATTGCTGCGCGCGACCGGTCTTTGAACTCCGCTCGTGCTGGACGGATTCAAAAAAATGGTGAATTCGTGAGGCAATCAGCTCAATTAGTAAATCCATTCCATGGCTGCCTGAAAAATTGCTGCAGGGCCTCTTTAAAGGGATTTCGCAACACTTTTTCAAGTCACCATTAAGCGACTTCGTTAAAGCAGCTTATTGGAATGGAATGAAAAACAACTTTATTGTGTCCTGTGAAACGTGGTTGGGTCGCTCAGTCCCACGTATACGTACCAAAAAGCCCAGCCTGCCGGCCACCTTGAAGATTAGCCTCACGAATCGACCTCCACAAAATTTCTAGAATCAGTCAAGAAAGAACAAGATACACAGAGAGAGAGAGAGGATTACTTTAATGGAGAGCAAGCTACAGAGATTTGTTGCACACTGCACAGTAGACGCTCGGTAATTCGAAGTCGGTTAATTCTAACTCGCCGTTAATTCGAACTGACACCCTGGTCACGGCACACCTCGTGTATATATGGGAGAAAACTTCCAATAATACGAACGCGTCGGAATCCACAACGGTTAATTCAAACTGGGAGACCCCTGGCTTTGATCACTCCGCGCAGGAGTCGGCCCAGGGTGATAACAATTTTTTTCAAAGTCAAATTAAACCAAATTTACTAGAGATGCAAAACAACAAAATAGCAGCATTTCCCCGCAGATGGGAATTCGGACGCTGCGGTGGAGCTCTTGGGCAATACAAAGTAGCATGCTCGCGATTTACACAAACCGGCAGAATTCTCTGGTTTTCATTAACGAGTTATCTTTCTCTCGCTATCTCTGCCAACGATACTCATGGAATCACTACAAACGAAGCGCAAGCAAATGCAATTTGCTGATTGTTTTACTGAGAGCTTCATAAACATAGTTAACGACATCGCTTGCCACAAACGTGTAGTTTTGCCTGGTTCGCGACAACGAGTCCAGAGGTAGCTTGTTTGGGGTCTGATACCGCAGTGTGGTGCGATGTCCATTCATTCGAGCGCCCACTCTAATTCGAGCTCCGCTTAATTCGAACTATTTTATAGTCCCCTCGAGTTCAAATTAACGGCCTTTTACTGTAATAGCTTTCTATCGTCCCAACAAGCACGCTGCAAGCTAAGCAGGGAAGAACGACACGGGAGAAAGAGCGTCATGACCTTGACTGGCCACTGTACCCTGACCTTGAGCACTTTTCTTTTTTAACGTGCGGCTAATATTCAACGCGAACACGAAGACTAGAATGCCTCGATGGCAGCGCGGAATGGCTCATTGGGGCACTCTAGTCGGAAGACGGGCGGGTGGCGGCCTCCCGTGGCGGTCGCGGTAACTATGTGGCACACGATGCTCACATCAACCAATGGCCTGAAATTCGGGTGTATGACGCGTTCATTTGGTTATATGGCATCTTTTGCAGAGAAGAGAGGGAACGATTTCTCGCGTACTTTGAATATAATTTGTAAATTCTTGGCCACGTGCTACGCTATAATGTTTAGATCACGTGCTCTCAGGCACCTCAACTACCGATCCGCAGCGCTTTATTATCATGCCAAAAACTGTTGCGCCGTCCATTTGAAGGCCAATTAAAACGCCACAGTGACAATATTGTACCCTTGCAAACTCTTGCATTCTTATGTATTTATTGTAATGCATATTAAATTAATATGTCGGACTTTCTTTACTGCAGTGTACTTTCCCGAAGTGTTCCTGCACGCCCAGGACCGAAATGAAATCGCACATTCTCGCCATATTTGTGGGATTTCTCTGCACGGAAAAGTTAACGTGTAAGTACATTCAAGTGTGGTCATGTTTCTTGTACTTTTATTTGTAAGTGTTCAGCTTGTGTCCCGCCTACTGCGCACTGCTGTAGTGTGGCTGAATTCATTCTTTGCTTCATGCATGCTGGTCTTGGATAATTAAAGAAAAAAAAGAGCAGGAAAGAATTTCCATATTTTTGGACGATGAGAACCGCAAGTATGTGGCATATTCTACAGTTAACGCAGTTGATGTACTATACTCCTCGTGCGCACGAGTACACATGGTTGCGTAAAGCACGCATGAAACCGTTGATGATTGCTCTTTAGATAACATGCTTAAGCTGCGCAGCTAGCTAAGGCGATATGCAGCAACTGCTCTGGAACCTTCACACAACATTCTTAACAAGCAGCGAACTTACTGGCCACCTAAGCCGTCGTCACACCATATGCAGCAGCTTTATTCAACGATCACAGGATCAACGGAAGGGCGACTCCGCAACAGAATCTTAAAATTATTGGACTCTGACTTCACACAGCAGCATTCAGCACGGTAGCCGCGTCAAATTTCCGAATTTGTGCACTTGCTGTGTGTAAAAGGTGCACGTGAGATCAAGTTAGCAAGCACGAACACCTGGCATTCATATTTTTTTTTGTAGTACAACGAAAAACACAGATAAGCCGAAACATTCACCAGAATTTCCAACAGCAATATATGTATACGGAAAATATGAAGAAACATTCGTCATTTAGAGAGCTCACTGCTACGTTATGCGAAGAATAATTTCGTTAGTGCTATTTAGAGCAATTTTGTTAGCATACTCAACACAATTAAACAATAGCGAGTTTTCGAATAGGGACCCCAAAAGTTTGGAGCCCCAACAAAATAACGTCAAGGCCACTGCGCATGCGCAAAACCCAAACGCGGTTGAGGACGCTATATTTTTTTAATTTAGCGGGAGCCCCAAAAGTGTTTTATTTATTTATTTATTTATTTATTTATTTATTTATTTATTTATTTATTTATGAATACTGCAACCCTAACATAGGGTTTTGGCAGGGTGGATATACATTTGATAAATTTACAAATCGGCAAACAAATAAATATAAAAAAGAACAGTGGTTTGTAATAAACCGGCATAAGAACATATAGAGAACTAAGCGCTACATTCAACATGATCACAAGTGGAGAATAGTTACAGTGATTGAAATAAACAACAGGAGCACATGTCATGGAATTTAGACACTCACTGCTAGAGCTGCGCAGCAAAAAGGTTCAAGGATGACTGGAAAACAACTTCGTTGCTAAAGTTATTCCATTCGGTAATTGTCGTAGGAAAGAACGAATACTTGAATGTGTTATTACAAGTGGAAAATGGGGTTATTGTAAAGGCATGCCTCTGCCTTGTGGTCTATCCTTTGGGCAAATGAAGTATATGTGATAAGTCTAACTTAAGATAACCTTTAACTAGCTGCAATAAAAATTTTAATCTCAATACTTTATTTCTTTGTGTTGTTGGGAGGTTAGCTTTTGCTAATAAACATGTTATTGAAGTACGACCAAAACTGTTATAAATAAACCTAACAGCTCTCTTTTGAATTTTTTCCATTTCGCTGATATTTTTTCTGGTGTAAGGATACCAAATTATGGATGCATAATCTAAAGTAGGTTGAACAATTGCATTAAATGCAACAAGGTGAACGGCGGGAGTGGAGTGCTTAAGAGCTCGTCTAAGATAAAATAATTTGTAATTGCACGAGCTTATTACAGTGTTATTATGTCTCGTCCAGTTAAGGTCATTCGAAATCCAAAGACCAAGGTACTTGTAGTGTTGTACCTCCTGCAAAAAAAAACATTATTGGCTGAATATGCAAAATGAAGAGCGTTACGTTTGGGAGAAATTTTCATGAAAACGGTCTTTTTAAAGTTAACTGACGTCTGCCATTTATCGCACCAACGAATAACCTATTGAAATGCATCGTTTAAATAAATTTGATCAGTATGGTTTTCTATTTCCAAGTACAGGAGGCAATCATCTGCATATAACTTAACTTTTACAGGTATATCATGTGATATATCATTTATAAACAATAAAAAAGAGGAGGGGTCCGAGCACAGAGCCTTGGGTCACACAAACGTAACGGCACCCACTGAAGTGACATGACCAAGAAAATGGGTGAGTATCCAAAGCACCGCCGACCCTATTCGAAAACTCTTCGATCCTGCTTCACCCAAAGCGTCCATACGCAAAGGTTTGGGGCCCCTATTCGAAAACTCCCCATTGTAATCGTCGTGACGTGCCAGAGCCACTACATGAGCACAAGGCACGCTGTGTAGCGAGGTGTCCCAGATCAATTTCGACCACCAGGTAGGTTGCTTTGACGCCATAGGCGTGCGCACGGAGAGAGAGAGGGGGGGTGTAAAGCTAGCCTCATAGATTGACATGAAAGGGAGAGCCGCAAAGACCAACATTTGTCCACCCTGAAGGGGAACCCTGTTAAGGCTCCCGTTTAACGCGCGCCTCTAACACGACTGCAGGCGAGCTTCAGGCAGCGGCATATAGCGGCCAGCCCTCGCCACTGCTGAGCTACTCGCAACAAAGCCCCGTGATGCGCGAGCTGGCCAAGGCGCACGCCGAACAGCAGGCCCGCGTCGAGGAGTCCATCGCCGAGCTGGTGCGAGAGCTGAAGGCGCTGCCGCCCGACGACGCCCGCAGGGAGCCGCTGGCCGTCCAGCTGCGACAGCTGCAGCAAGCACTGCGGGACATGCGCGACAAGTTCCGCGACCAAATGTTTTGCGTGCTCAAGCACGACGCCGCCAACAATGGCACCCTCGCTGATGACAAGGTACGACCTCTGTCGGTGGTATGTCATTCCGGCTGGTTATAGAACGCATACATAGTTCCGAATTTGTTATCCAAACTTTTTTGAAGTAGTTACTGCTTTTTTTGACGTTGACCATTCGCAGTTTTTTTCCTTCTACTTTTTTTACTTTCTTCTGCCTGCAAAGAATTTGGCATGTTTATATTTATATATATATATATATATATATATATATATATATATATATATATTCGCAATTTCTTTCTACTTTTTTTACTTTCTTCTGCCTGCAAAGCATTTGGCATGTTTGTTTATATATATCTTGTGTGACCCGAGCAATCAGTGAGGTTACATGCTTCATTAAACCCTGCCAGGATAGAAGAAAAAAACTGCACATTTCTTAGATATCCCGGTGCGAACAGGGCAGCGGCGTAGTGAGTATCAAAGGGAGGTTCAGTTACCCTCTGTACGTGTTATGTTCGTGCGTGTATCCTTAAGTGCGCGCGTAATACTACATGCAAAACTGAACGATTTCTTGGAGGAGGGCGCGGCTCTCAACTCCTTCCCCCCCCCCCCCCCCGTCTGCCCCATTGTTTGCGGTATCAAATCCGATGGCCAGAGATGGTTCTACCCACAGGGAGGCTGCTGCCAAAGTGCGACGTCGGCGTTTGCGCCATAGGAAAACTCCTAGGACATCCTCTGCCAAGGCCAGGGATACAACGCTACCCCATATCACGCACTCACCACCACAAGCACCAACAAGTGCCATCAACAAGCATCCTCAGAAAGACGCAAGAAACATTGACCCTGACGCGTGGCCAGCGCTGCCGTCAGCGACACAGCCAGTAGAGCGGCAGCATCGCCCACTGAAAGCTACTTCAGAGCGAGTAAGCCATGACAGTCAAGATAACGAAATAATAGACGTGATTAAGACCCTCATGAAGACAATTCGAGTACTCCTGAATAATATTCAGACTCCGGTTGCCCACAGCGCTCTTCAAATATTGGACGCTTTGAATCCGGTGCTATCAAATCTAGAGAAGCACCATGGCTCTTTCTCTGCAACCCTTTCGTAAACAAGTGCAAGAGGCATCAATTTTCCAATGGAATGCCCGAGGTCTTAAACCCCGCATTTCGGATTTTCGACCATATGTTTTCAAGAATCAGTTTGCAATTATCGTAATTTGTGAACCACGCCTTCACAATGCTATACGACTTTCTAAATACGAGGCTTTCAGATCTGCAACCCGTAACGAAACCAGTAAGGTCATTGTTTACATCAGGTGCGAACTGACATATATTGAGCATCCAGTAACACCGGACGACAGCAACCAATACGTGTGCCTGACAGTTAAGCGTAAGAACGTGAACTTCACGCTAGTGGCAGTATATATTTCGCCTTCAGGCCGCTTCGACCCAGCAAGATTAAGCGCCATTATATCAGCGACACCTGGGCCATGGATTATTACCGGTGATTTTAACGCTCATCACCCCCTGTAGGGAAGCCAGAAGATGGACCGTCGGGGAAGAGATGTGTCCTCCTTTGCATCTGACCACCAACTATAGTGTTTAAATGACGACGCTCCCACGTTTTTGCGGGGTCTGACATATAGTAGCTGTCTCGACCTAACTTTTGTGTCAAGTAGCCTAAACACCAAGGTGCAGTGGTTTGCGGACAATGAAACGCATGGCCGTGACCACATTCCCACCTATATGAAAATCAAGAGGCTAAGCAAGTCGCAAATCGCGCCCACTTCACGGATACACTGGTCAAAGTATAGATCATCCACAGAGAAGCATTGCGAGAGAAACCAAAAAGGTTCTCTTGAAAGCCTAGAAGGTATAATGAAGGCCGCTATTCAAGAGGCAACGTTTCATTGTGGACCTTTGCCAGATTTTTGCAAATATGAGGTGGAGTTGGAGCGACTTCGCGCAATACGTCGTCGCGCCGAACGACGTTATAGGCGCACGAAATCCATCTACGACTGGAGGGAAGCGAGACGTCTACAAAAGAAGATTCAACGTCGAATCAATGCACTACAGTCGCAACGATGGAAGTCACTATGCGAGTCACTCGATCCCCACAAACCTCTTTCGCAAATATGGAGAATAATCCGCGGCCTACGAACATTGCCACAACAGAATCGTCCGTTCAAATGCATTGCTCTCCACCAAGGCCGGCGTGAAATTGATGTAGCGGAAGACTTCTGTGCCAGGGTTGCAAACAAGGGGTCCGGAATCAACGTGAGTAACTTACGAAACGCGCCGGCGTCCAGAGACACTCGGATGGACAATATGTTTTCTCTAGAGGAGCTTCAGGCATCATTGGCAGCATTCAAGCACTCGTCATCGCCTGGACCCGGTGGAGTCACTTACATGACCCTTGCTAACCTAGGACGAAGAGCTCGGTGTGCCCTTCTAGCTGTATACAATGACTCTTGGAGCAACGGTTTGGTTCCTCCTTCGTGGAAGTGCAGCCGCCTTGTGCCCCTGCTCAAAACAGGCAAATCGCCTCTGGACATGGCCTCCTATCGCCCCATTGCGCTTGCCAGCTGTTTTGGAAAGGTGATGGAGAGAATGGTACTGACTCGCCTGGAGTGGTACTTGGAACATAACAATATATACTCCGATGCTTTGACCGGCTTTCGATGTGGACGGTCTTCCATAGACAATGTTGTTGATCTTGTAACGTCTGTACAACAGCAGAAGAGCCTAAAGAGATTATCAGCGGCACTTTTCTTGGATATTAAGGCTGCATACGACAATGTATTACATGAAACCATCCTGGACACCTTGGGCAGCATTGGATTGGGAGGCCGCGTTTACCAATGGATCTACAACTATTTGATGGACAGAAACTTCTTCGTTAAGACAGAAGATGGCGCAACAAGGCAACATCATACTTATCGTGGCGTACCTCAAGGTGGGGTCCTAAGCCCCATACTTTTCAACCTTGCGCTCATCGGCCTCTTTGACGTCCTGCCACACTCCGTACATCTGTCGATATACGCGGATAACATCTGCATCTGGGCATCAGGGGTCACGCGTCTACACGTAGGAGCCAGGCTTCAGACAGCGGCTACACTGACGTCAAACTACCTTCAAGAACGAGGACTGGAGCTGTCATATGAGAAATGCTCACTAGTCGCGTTTACACGCAAGACAATGACGCCATACCGCATCAGAATTAATGGACACACAATCAGCTATCAAAAGACTCACTGTTTTCTGGGAGTAATAATAGATCGTGATTTGTCTTGTAGCGCTCATATCGCTTACATGAAGAAGAAACTGACCATGATCACCCACGTCCTAAGGTTTCTTGCGGGAAAATCATGGTCTGCATCGGTACGAGCCATGCTTCAACTGTATGCTGCACTTTTTCTTGGCTTCATGCGCTACAGCCTACCTGTGCTTGGCAAGGCCCGCATAACAAACGTACACGTCCTCCAGTCATTACAAGCTCAAGCACTGAGAATATGCCTCGGGCTGCCGAGATGCGCATCCTCAGCAGCGACTGTCGCAATCGCTCATGAACACCCTATCACAACCTACATTCGTGTCGATGCTTTAAGAACGCACGTTAGACATGCCACCCAGATTCAATCGCATCACCTCGCCTCCCTTCCAACTTCCAGGCCACGCTCTGCATTCTGCTCTATTATTGCCCCACATCGCACGGTGATTCCCACGAACTTCACGCACGCAGCAAGACCGTCGTTACCATTGTGGTGTCTACATCCACTGGAAGTCCTGATAACCATCCCCGAAATGCAAAAGAAGAAAAATTTGTCAAGTTTGGCCCTAAAACAAACAACATTAATGTTTCTGCATGAGAAACACAGTGGACGCGTTCACATTTACACGGATGGGTCGGTCACTTCAACAAGTTCAACAGGCGCAGTGGTGATTCCGGAGAAATCCATCACGATAAAGTTCAGGACCTCGCATCTGACATCATCCACGGTGGCAGAACTCGCTGCCATTCGTGCCGCTCTGGAGTTTCTAGTTGAAGAACCGCAACAGACATGGTCAATATTCTCCGACTCCAAAGCAGCTCTCCAGGGAATTGCCTCGCCATATCGTCATGGACCGAACGAACAGCTAATTGCTGAAATACGACTGCTTCATCACCGGGCTATAGAGAAACAACATGACATAGCGTATCAATGGATACCAGGCCACTGCAGCATTGATGGAAACGATCGTGCAGATGAAGCAGCCCGAACTGCTCATGATGATGCCCCTTGTGTAGCTATACCATTATCAAGAACGGACGCCGCTGCAAGGCTTCGATCACTTGCACGAGAACTGACACTCGCTCAGTGGAATTCACCGGCATTCACCAACGTCGGCCTTCATAATTTGGACCCGCACCTACAGCTCCGTCTTCCATCAGGAATAACCAGAGCAGAGGAGACACTTTTGTGCCGTCTGTGGATTGGGGTGGCCTTTACGAATGCTTATTCGTTTCGAATTGGAATGACCAGAAGCCCGACATGTGACAACTGTGGCTGCGCAGAGACTTTCTCCCATCTTCTCTGCGAGTGTCCCCGCTTCAGCGTGCCAAGAAAAGAACTGTCAAAAGCTTTAGATAGAATATACAATCGCCAATTGTCGGAAGAAAGGGTATTAAGACACTGGCCTAGACCATCCTCTGCACGCAAGGCACTGAGAGCGTTGTTGCGCTTTCTGCGGGCAAGTGGTCTTAGAGACAGACTGTAAACAGCGTCGTGGATCGTCTGATGACCTTCTCTCTCTTTTTTTACAACGTCTCTTTTCTCTCATCCTTTATCCCCCTTACCCCCTTCCCCAGTACAGGGTAGCCAGCCGGTCTGAGAACTGGCTAACCTTTCTGTCCTTCCTCATTTATTCCTCCTCCTCCTTCTCCGATCTTTTGTTCTGGCTAGATGCCTACATATCGTATATGTCTCTTTCATAGTAATATCATGTTCATTAAATAAGTAAACACATCACTTGCGAGCATCCGTGTACAAAGGTACAGTTTCCCTGTTTTCCCATGGAGAGATGTGGGAAAGGAGACGCACTCTTCCCCCCCGCCCCTTCTAATTCCCCAATTGAAGCCTCTGCCAGGTTCTGCAGAAACTCGTGAAAGGCAAGTGTAACAAGAAATATTATTCACACGTTCCCCTCACATTTCAGGCCGCTCAAGAGGCTGTCTTGCTGCAGTGCACTGGAGCGATTTCACCGACTGCGGCGGTGGACACTCTTCAAACGCAAGTCAACGAGACTGCCAAACGATGACCGTGTATATGTGCGATAAAAAAATGTGCCCCAATGTTCATTTTAGACTGTAGCTAAGCGCATATACACGGTTTATGTGACAGTCGGCGAGCGTAGAACTGACATGGTTTTCCTTCGAAAGGGACTACCGCGTTTTGTGCCTTCTGAAGTGGAACCGTCACAGACCGGGCATGAGAACGTTGAATGGATCAAGAATGAGATTATCGGGCTTAAACTCAATAAAAATGGCCCTAATTTGATCAAAACAGTGTTTTGTGAAACTACATGTGTGCCGCAAACTTTTGCTGAGCTTCGACGCGATGTGTTCTTTTTGAAAACAAAGCTGGCAAGATTATTGCCAATATAGTTTCAACCTTTCACCTCCTTTGATGTCTCTTTTTTTGTTCTCTCTCTCTCTGTATAGTCAGGCTGGGCAAGAAGTGGGACGATATGTCTTGACCTGACTGACGCTGGAATCACCTTCGGAATGTGAACGACGTGCCACCCTTAATTTCTGCGTTATCGATCGAACCCGTCTTTCGAGGCATACACAACACGCGCGCTATCTGACAACGTAATTACAGGGTGCACGTTCCTCGCATTGCTGTCTATATCTGGTCCTGTAGAATACTGCTATTAGACACGCTGGTGAATTAGGGCTTTGTTTTCTGACTAAATGCTAAATAAAACCACGAACTCTATACTTAAAATTTTGTTCTATAACCAATCTGCCCTGCCGGATATCCAGTAAAGCGTGTGTCTCTCGAATACTTTTTTTTTCAATAAAATAATGTGATCTGTGCATGCGAGCTTTCGGCGAAAAAAATATATTTGTAGTTTTGTACAATGTGTAAATTGGTGCTACACCACGCGTTCACAGCTATGCTTTTACGTTGTCTGCGAGAGGAAGGCTTAAGTGATGTACGGTGAGGCATACTCATGGAATGAGTCGATCAGGCGGAGCAAGTGCCCGTCAGGTCTTCCAAGCAAATCCCGCCTGTAGCAGCATCACCATGGCATAAGTGAGGGTGTATAAGAGTGAAAGAGGGGGGGGGGAGAAAACATAAGTGCAGACGATCTATAACACACTCGCGCAGTGCTATCTCTAATGTCAGTTGCCTTCAAGAACTGCGAAACGTCTCCAATGGCTCTCCGGGCTGATGAGCCGTGAGACCAGGCCACTGAAGGGACACTGGAGAGTTCCACTTATTGCGAAATGATGAAAATGCAGGAACTTTAACGCCACGGCGAACACGTCTTTTATGCGGCCGCCATACAAAAGGGCAAGTGCAAGTTTGTTTGTTTTTTTTTCGGCGTTGTACTTGACCTTGCGTACATTCTCTACAGCGTTGAGGCACTATGATATTACTGCAAAAAAAAATGCAATGGCGAAAAAGCATTGGGGTTGGGGTGGGGGGAGGGGGGGGAGGCTAGGTGTGCCACTGCCTGGCTAGGCTCCTGGTGTCACGATGTATCGTACAACCTCCACTTTCATTGTAACCTTCTCCAGCACTGTTCTTTGTTTTACAGAGAGCGTACGGAACCTTGCGGCTGTGTTTTTACAATCGCGAGGGCGGTCCGCATTGACAGTGGTAAGAATGGCGATTATGCCACCACTTCATTCCTTAAGAAACTTTCGCCCAAAGAAAACCTGAGGCATTGATTGAACAATACTTCATGCATTTAGATGCATGCTTGTCTGCGACAGCTCCACTTCGGGGCTCTTATCGGTTGGATGAGGGTACACTGCTCGTCTCTGCCATGTACTGATACCGTTCCCGCTGACGGCGCACACGAACACTTCATGACGTCACAGCTCCCCTCTCTTAAATCTACGCGCTGGCTGTAACGAAACATCCGCGTTCACTTGCACGCTGCGCTTGAGCAAGGCTGGCTCAATCAAGCTCGCGTCTTCCATTCAACGCGACCGTGTGGTGTTTACGTGAACTCGATGGACCGATTCCAGCTAGACAAGCAAACTGGATCTGCTTCTGTACACAGTACATGTGTACACACTATTTCTACGCAAGCATGTCACCTGGAAATATCGGTCACGCGGAGTTGTGTTCCTGTATTGTGCTGCTTATAGATTGGCGTCAATAGGTGAAATCCGGACACATTTACTTACACGATGACAGCCAAGTGATGACGTAAGCTCGATGCGTTGCCCACGTTCGGTAACACTGTACGACGTCCGCTTTCTGACGAAAAACGCATATGATACGATTCCTAAGGCAGCGCAGTCTAACAGATCGTTTTGGACACATGGCATCAGCTACAGCATTCAGTTGCAAACTGCAAGCACTCGGCGGCAATTGTTAACAAGCACAACTTGCAAGTATACATCATACCACGGAAAGCTGGGATACGATAAATGCATGCGCCCCCATCCTCGAGCAGAAGACACCGAGTCAAGCTATGCGGATCTCGGATTTCCCATCAATGCCGTACGTCGCAATGGTGATTAGTGCGATACTTGACTGCCACACGAGAACTCCGTGCGAATGAGTAAAAAAAAGCACAAGACTCGAGGACGTATACTGTTTGCCAAAAGTGATTACAAACCCGTGCAACGCACGAAAGAGCTATCCAAGAAACTGGCTTATGTGCGCATAAACGGGAACGATTTCAAGACATTGAACAACGTACGAGCGTGCGGGCGTCACTTCATGAAAGGCAAGTCATGCTTCCAAATTTTGTGTTAAGTTGTTCCACCAACCACGTGCGACACCGTGGACTCGGACACTGAAGACACGGAGGATCCAAGTTCCCAAGTCAACACTGCTTTGCTGCAGGCTGCATAATGTCCCGAACGATTCTACTCCATTATCAGCGCAAGACAAACAATGAAAACACACGGACTACGCCAATCGATCCACCGCACAAACGTAAACACGGCGCGGTCACTGAGACGTGTGTGCTACGAGGGCTCGGTAATGGCGGACGGATGGCAGGAACTGGCGTTACTTGCAAGTTATGTATAAGACCTATTGCACAGTTAATGTCGGCTAGCTGGTGCAGGCTAATGTGTGCCAAATATGACAGAAAGAAAGAAAGAAAGAAAGAAAGAAAAGAAAGAAAAGAAAGAAAGAAAGAAAGAAAGAAAGAAAGAAAGAAAGAAAGAAAGAAAGAAAGAAAGAAAGAAAGAAAGAAAGAAAGAAAGAAAGAAAGAAAGAAAGATTGTTACCCTGCATTAATGGGCAAGAAAATGGCGAGTACAAAGAAAAAGAAGAGATAGAAGACGGCCACTGAACGCACACAACAGTACCAGTACGACTAAATCGTCGCTATTGTTGGTTGCTGCCGACTATCTGATGTTATAACGCAGCATAATGTTTTCACTCAATCTCTGCAGGCAGACTGAGTTGTTTCTCAACTTTACTATTTCACATGCAGGGTTCAATGGCACAGGCAGTTCATCTGGTATCATCTATGATCCGTTCTTCACACCGCGCCCACTTGTCGCTTTCTTCCCTTTGTCTTCTTGTCTTCATGAGAGCAGAGGCATATCAGGACGATGGTGACTGAGTTGATGGCCGCACGCTTTTCTGCAGCTCTTTCAGCTGTCTGAGAAAACCGTCGTTGGGGCGAACGACAGGCCTCGCGGTGCGCGCCCTCTCGAGGGCCTCGCGAAGATCCATTCCACGACGAAGTATCAGGAAGGCCAGCACGAGCGCGCACGATCTGCACGTAAAGAATGCGAAGTTGGATATATCGGCGAGCGAATACCCGTAAGCAAAGAAGGAAAAAAAGTGGCTTTTCACGGCTTTTACACAGTCGATGTGAAACGCGCTACATTTCGACGTCCGGAACTCCACGTCATGATTGATATGTGGGGTTTAACGTCCCAAAACCACCATATGATTATGAGAGACGCCGTAGTGGAGTGCTCCGGAAATTTTGACCACCTGGGGTTCTTTAACGTGCACCCAAATCTGAGCACACGGGCCTACAACATTTCTGCCTCCATCGGAAATGCAGCCGCCGCAGCCGGGATTTGAACCCGCGACCTGCGGGTCAGCAGCCGAGTACCTTAGCCACTAGACCACCGCGGCGGGGCGAACTCCACGTCATGCCTGATGTGCAGAATTCAAAGGAAGCGTAATTCCAGATAAGCATACCGGATAAAGGAGAAAGAGAGACGAACAGATAGTAACAATTACTGTAGCTTTACGTCCCAAAAACACAATATGAGGGACGCCCTTATAGTGAAAAGAAACTAAGGTCCGTATTTACAAGCGCGAAACGACACACGTGCACGAATAGGAATATATAAACACACAGCGGCATACCAGCAACAAAACGTTTATTTTCAAAATAAGACTGCTTAAATGCCATAATCGCCCGGCGAATAGTTTAGGAAATGGGTTCATTCAGATGTGTGATCGATAATGTCAATCTACCTCAACGAAATCATAACAGATAATACCGTGTACCACCACTTACGCAGGAAACACTATCTCCTTAGGTGACAATGCATATTGAAGGCTTGTTGATGCACAAATCACCAAGTGCGTCGACAAGTTCAGCTTCCGCGATAAAACGAGTCCTCTTATCCTTATGTCGACCAACAATGACTGTTCTGGAACAAAGGCCAGCAACCACATGCGCGAACACGAAGAGCGAGAAGCCCTTCAGGCGTCAGTTTACACACATCTTGTAATTGTGCCCTCTCTGTCACTCATTAACACAGCTGCTGGCTTGGCCGACATATTGTTTCCCGCACGAGAACGGAACGCGATAAATAATGAACATCTTGAACCCAACAAATTTTTTTGTATGCCTTGGGCACAAAAACCTCTCCCCCCCCCCCCCCCGAGATAAATTTGTCATGACGCTATCAGGCGCTGAAAATAAGCACCCTAATATTACCGCGATTATCCAACTTATTGAGCTCATGTGACAGCTGGTGAACATATGGAATTATAGTCGTGCGTCTCGCTTCTGGCGTTATATGGTCACGAGCGTTATATAGGCTGGCTTGCACTTCCGCGAATTCTTTCTACTCTTTTTCAGCAGCAGAAACTAAGGTAATTTCGTAAATTAGGTACATGCTCTAACAGCGAACATAAATTATTGATCAGAGGGCGATGTGCGCAAAAACAAGCAGCGACTTGCATTCACGTGAGCAGCGAGTCTTGATGCCGAGATATACGAAGCTGTTTGTGCTCCACAACACGTTCATTTATTGGCAGAGTTGAAGCAATCAAAATTTAAAATATTTCTTTATTAGTTTATTTAGGACAATACTGAAGCTGTCCAATAAGACACGGCTAAAATCAATGTCTGACTGGGCTGTGCCATCTATAGTAGCAGCACACAGACGAAATTTCCAACCATCAAAAGCACAAGTGTAAATTAATCACTACACTTCTTGTACACAGATGAAAGTAATGAGTAATTTGAATGATCATTCTGCAGGCCGAGAAGGAACGAAAAACAGGGAGCTCCCAGTTTGAATTAACTGTAAGTTCGAGTTGACCGAGTTCAAATGAACGATCTTTTACGTACACGCATATGCGCAAACAGCTGTTCGTATACGCTATAGCCAACGGTATCAACCATACGCTCCCACGGGCTATAAATGTGAAATGCTACCACGTGACTTGATGAACGAATGACCTTATCACTGCGTGGTCGGTTTGTCTTACAGGGATGCAAAATGGACCGTGACCTGGGTCACCCCTTACATTTAAAAATTGTTTCTGTAAAATTTCGTACTTGTTTCTTCGTGACGGCATACTAATATCGATATTAAGCACTGCGATTCTGTCTCTGAAATAAACATTAAACGAAATTGCGAACCTCCTCATGCCCTTCCTAAATATGATTATCAGTCTCCTATATCGCTAATGAAGCAAAATACATCAGGTCTCAGTTTCGCATGCCATATCCTATAATCATCAGCCTAGTGACAACTGCCACATTCTGGCAGCATCGCAAAGCGTGGGTAAAAAATTACGGGCACCTGGACACGCCAGCGTTGCAGTGCACAAGCACGGATCCACCAGATGAAAGCGCTTCATCGATAAAGTCGCACACTTTATCAATGGTGTCAAGCGTGAGGGTGAAGTCAGGAAGGTCCAGTAGTTCCAGAGCCAGGTAGGTCAGGCCACGGTCTTCGTGGAAGTTGGGCACTGTCGTGGCGACCGCGTTCACGACGTGCGTCACAGCCAGAGACCGCAGCAGACACCAGTCCGCAGCGGCATCCTGCGAACCTTATAGAACGTCAGCACTGTTACAGTACATGCACCATCAACCTATGCGGAGCACAAAGGGCTCGTTCCTTAACGTTTTTCGGGAGTGGTGTGTGTCACGGACTGAAACGCCAAAATTAGTGGCTGTAAAATGCTCGAACTTTTGTTTCCAGCATCTACAGTTTGCGTCATAAGGGGGAGAATTTCGGCGCGCACACTTACATCAGCGCCATCAAACAAGAAGAACGACGTGACAAGCTCGCTTGCGCGGCTGCGTGGCTATACGCGCCGTGATTTCAGGGCTCCGCGTACGAAGCGATGCGCTTCTCTCGCAACGATGCACGACAGCGATAAGTAGACACACAGGTCAACGCTTCTGCGGCCGATAGCAAACCGCGTTCATCGCACAGCCACCACCATTGTCACGGCCCAGTCGAGACAGCACAATCGGGCAACTATGGCCGCTTGCATGCGGCACCTTACGATATCTTTAACAGGTCGTTTCGGAGCGCTCTCCTGGGAGTGAGAGAGAGAGAGAGCTTGAAGAACGCTCTGAAACGACCAGTCAAAGATGGCATTAGAATCATCGTGGGTACCGTAGTACTGACACACTACCAGGCTTGTCACGTGGTATCTTTCATTTATTTCGCACGCTTTTGTAGTTAGCAGAAAAAGGCTTAGTGAATGATTAAACGATATAAAACTCAAAACTGTCTAATCGGATGTTATGCAAATCAATCTGCGACGTTCCAATTAGAATTTTGATTCATATTCGTTGCCTTAAAAGTTAGTTAACTAAAGTGGCATAATTAGGTAATTGAGAAAACACAAAGCAGCCTGACTCACTCCAGGCGACAGTCAGCAACATGCATTTGGTCACATTGTTATTACGTGTGTCGGCTTATTCTTAAACTCTGGGGAACCTTAATTGTTGCTGGGGAACCTTGTATAGTGACCGGAATGTGCGTGCACGACAAACATAAAATACGTGTTGAAAGAAACGACTGGCACTAAACGCATGCCATGTATGCCATGAAATGAATGATAGAATGGCGTAGTGCATGCGATCTTAATAAGAACTAACAGACAATAGACCTCATACTCTGGAGTTGATGATGATGATGATGATGGTAATGCGGCCATTCCCTTTGCAACGGGCGGGCACACTTTGGCACCCTAGCCGATAGTAAAAAATACAAAGAAAATAAGAAAATAAAATACAGACTGGGCGGGTTGCTAGTTAAGAACCCTCCCGAAGTCCCTGGAGAGTTATTTTCCTCCATTGTTCTAGGCGAGGTTTGCTGCGCCTCACTGCGGCGTAGTCCACCACATCCCCTGTGTCCACAAAACCCAGTGCAGCAGCGAGATCTGTGTTCGAACTGGATGGGCTCAGTTGCGGGCACTCAGTCACGATGTGTGCGATGGTCTCGTCAGCCCCACCACACGCGCGACACACCACACTCACGAGTTCACCATCGTAGGCTTGCTTACGGACGAGAGTACGCAGGGCCCCTGCTCTCGCCTCAAACAACAGTACACTTCCAAGGCCATTGTCGTACAGTGGGACTGGAGCAATGGTGTCCTTGTGCTGGCGGTAGAGGAGGAGACGACTTGTTCACTTGTGCCTGCCTCCACTTTTTCTCGGCCTCCTTAATACGTTGGCGGACACGCCAGTGGATGGATGGATGGATGGATGGATGGATATGGCTGTACCCTTTAGATCGGGCGGTGGCTAGCGCCACCAAGCCGTAATACTTAATGAACCTAAAACTATATTTATTTTTTCCCTTAAAAAGTGAGTTTGAGGATTTGTACTTTGCAGTGAAGAGTTTAATTTTCACTCGTGCCTTGACTTTAGCCACCAATCAGATAACCTCCTTCTAGTTAAGTCTACTTGCTTAAAGTCTATTTTGCCCTCCCTGTCCCTAAACCCCAGTGCTTTGAAAAACTATGCGCCATCATCCTGAACTATAGGGTGAAGCCCTTTACAGAACATTATCAAGTGTTCGGCAGTTTCTTCTTCCTCTCCACACGCACTGCATACTGTGTCTACCCCTTCGTATTTGGCCCGATATGTCTTGGTTCGCAGTACTCCTGTCCTAGCCTCAAACAGTAGAGAACTACCCCGAGTATTATCATAGATCCTTTCCTTGGCAATTTCCTGCTTAAATGTTCGATAGATCTCTAGTGCGGACTTCTTAATCATGCCCATTCTCCACATGTCAGTCTCCGTTTCCTTCACTTCCTTCTTAACCGATAGTTCTTTTTGGTTTGACCACCTGCTGTTTTCTAAGTATTTACCAGTCAACTTCCTGGTTCGCTTCCTCCATTTTGTATCGACATTCTTCATGTACAAGTAGCTGAAAACCTTCCTAGCCCAACGCTCTTCCCCCATTTCTCTCAATCGCTTCTCAAATTTTATCTTGCTGCTAGCTTCTCTGCCCTCAAATGATGTCCATCCCATATCACCTTGTACTCCCTGATTTGGTGTATTCCCGTGAGCTCCTAAAGCAAGCCTACCTATTCCACGTTGCTTAATTTCTAATCTTGCTTGAACTTCTGATCTCATGCACAAGACCGCATTGCCGAACGTCAGCCCAGGAACCATGACCCCTTTCCATATTCCTCTCACAACATCATACCTATTGTAATTCCACAGTGCCCTATTTTTCATGACTGCTGCATTCCTGTTACCTTTAGTCGTTACGTATGTTTCGTGTTCCCTCAGATACTCGATCCCATTGCTTATCCATACGCCCAGATATTTGTATTTATCTGTTATCTCTAGCGTGACCTCCTGTATTCTAAGCTCACTACATTCGTTGTCATTGAAAATCATGACTGCTGATTTTTCCTTACTGAATCTAAAATCTAACCTATCTCCCTCATTACCGCAGATGTCCATCAATCTCTGCAAATCTTCCTTGTTGTTGGCCATTAGCACTATATCGTCTGCGTACATTAATGCTGGTAGTGCCTGGTCAATAAGTTTTCCTTGTTTGACTAAAGAGAGGTTGAAGCCCAGACCACTTCCTTCTAATTTTGCCTCTAATCCTTGCAGGTACATCATGAATAATAAGGGTGACAGGGGGCACCCCTGCCTAAGCCCCCGTTTTACCTCTGCAGGCTTAGATACCTGTTTTTCCCACTTTATAACTACCTTGTTACCTTTATAGATACCCTTTAAAAGGTTAGTGACTACATGTTCCACGCCTAGTGTGTCCAGTATTCCCCACAAGTCCTCTTGAACCACGCTATCGTACGCTCCCTTGATATCCAAAAATGCTAGCCACAGGGGCCTGTGTTCCTTTTCTGCTATTTCGATGCACTGCGTCAGTGAGAACAGATTGTCTTCCAACCTCCTGTGTTTCCGAAACCCATTCTGCAGTTCCCCCAGCACCCCCTCATCCTCTATCCACGCCTGCAGTCTTTCCTTTATAATCTGCATCGCCAGCCTGTAGACCACTGATGTCACTATTATAGGACGGTAGTTGTTTATGTCAGCTTTGTCCCCCTTTCCTTTATAGATCATGCTCATCCTGCTAAGTTTCCATCCATCGGGAACTTCACCATCGATTATTATTGTGCTCACTGCCTCTCTCAATGCCTGCTTAGACTTCGGACCTAATGTCTTTATCAGCCTAATTGGAATGCCATCTGGGCCTGTTGATGTACTACTAGGAACCCTTTTCTCCGCCCTTTCCCACTCTTGTTGTGAAAATGGAGCCATTGCACCACTTGATTTGTCCTTGTCTATTGTGGTGCATAAAGTACTTTTTTGTTGAAATTTTTCTGTCACCCTTGTTCTTATATATTCAATAGCTTCGCCCCCTTCTAGCCTAGCACCTTGGGCTGTAGTTATAAAACTCTGCTCTAGGCTCGTCTCATTTCTTAGGGAGTTTAGATGGTTCCAAAATTTCGCAGCTGCCTTTCTATCTTTTTTATGTACTTCTGCCAGCCACTGAGCTCCCTTCCTTCTAATCTTTTCATTGATCAGAAGGGATGCATCCCTTCTACAGCTTAGAAAGGTTGCCCATTTTCTTTCAACATCATCTGTCGGTTCACCCCGCTGCTTAGCATGTCTGTGTTCCCTAGAGGCTTCCTGACGTTTTGCTATGGCTCTCTTAACTTCCTCATCCCACCAACTTTTGGGTTTGTGTCTTCTTTTCCGGGGTGACTTGTCACGTGTCTTAGCAAGCTCTAGCTCAAAGAGTCTAATTAGATTCGTGTATGTCCACACTGTCTTATTATCCTCCGTGATTACTTTCTCAATTTGTTTAGTGGCTATTTCAATTTGCCTTTCTGCATAAAAATTTTCTTGTAGTTGCTCATCGTGTCTCCTTCCCACTTTTACTGCTCTTCCAAAACTTAGCTTGATACGTTTGTGATCGCTACCCAGACTTCTGGAGCCACCTTCATCTATGTGCATTCCCCTGAGCTTATCATACATCCTATGTGACATCAGTGCATAATCTATCGTCGACTGAAGCCTTCCTACCTCCCATGTTATTTGCCCTTCACACTTCTCGGTACTGTTGCAAATGATCAAATCAAGCCTTTCACACATATCCATGATCATTTTGCCTGTCGGGTCGGTATACCCATCATATCTTCTATGTGCGCATTCATGTCTCCTAGTATAATTATCTCGCACTCTCTTCCTAACTCCTGAATGTCCTTTGATATACACTCTACCATTGCCTGGTTTTCCTCTCTGGCCTTTGCTCCCGTCCACAAGTACACGAAACCAAGGAGTGTCATTTGACCTGCCACTTTCCCTTTTACCCATAAATGTTCCTTGCACTCCTGCTTGACCCTTTGCCAGTCTGTACTTTTATGAATGAATGCCCCAATACCACCCCCCTTTCTGCTGCCTTCTGTTCTATTACAATATTCCCACGCGTAGTCCGGATTGTTCGGAGGTTGTTCCATCTCCCTGAGATGTGTTTCTACAAAACCGTATACCATCGGCCTCTCTTCCCTTAGCTGTTCTTCTATCTCTTCCCACTTCAGCCTGTTCCTACCACCCTGCATGTTAATATACCCTATGCCTGAATTGGCTCGGCGCTCGTGGCTACGTCTATTTATGCCCCGGACTCTACCTATCTTAGATATTGGTGCCACTTTGGAATCGTATCTGTCCACACCACCTGTCGAAGAGTCTCCCTGGTTGTTTTCCTCGTTACTAGCTATCCTGCACCCCGAAGGGCTCGCTTGCCCCCCAAAAAAGCTACTGCGCGTCCTGCAAGTCGCCAACCCACCTCATGACCTAGCCGCCCATCGAAGTGAATTCTGTCTCGTTGAAAACCCCCCCACCTATGCACCTCTCTGTTTATTTCCACCACCTCAAAGCCTTTCTCTTTTTTGCGGACACGCGGCGCCACCTGTCGACGCAGTTTTGAGTAGCGCGAATCCCGAATCCCTTGCACATGTTAAAAGTGTGGCAGCTTGGGCTAGTTGGTATGGCATGACGATAGTTATAGCGCGAGAACAAAACGACGACACAGAGACTTTCGTGTCCTTCTTGTCTCTGTGTGGTCGTTTCGTTCTCGCGCTATAACTATCGTCCCTAGCCCAGTTTGCTGCGCAACCGGGTGCAACTAGCGCGTGCGAAATATGGATTAAGAGAAATAATAAATGTGTTTGCGTATTCAAGACTGAGAAAAAGATCTACGAATAGTTTTCCACTAGTCGTGACGCGTCACTGATCCGCTATCAAGTGCTTGTTCGTTCACTCTCTACAACTACAGCGAAAATAAGAGCAGACGCAACAGCCTCCGCACTCTTCGGGAAAAAAAAAAAAAAGACCCCAGTCGACGCCACTGTTGCGTTGTGCATTGCCACGGACGTAAAGGACTTCAATTTTAGTGACTTCTGCAGCTTTCGCGAAGCAGAAACGGAGAGGGCGCTCGATACGGGACGTTGCGATCGTGTTGGGTAACCAAATTACTCGCGTTCTCTTCAGACGGTCGCATGATAAAGTGGGCAAATGTAGATCTCTTTTTGTTGTTCTGAGTAGCATTGACGGATAACCGTGCTAACTTTGATTATGAAGCTTAACAGAGCCTCTGACCGCGGTGCGCGCCGTGCAACAGTAGGCAGGTGACGCGCGCGATATGCATCGCACACGTACGCGTCTTTTAATATATAGGAAATACGAACACGTACTATCGGCGTCAAATGAAACCCGAACAGCGGAGCACGTGTTTCAAGCATTAGAAACAGTATAGTGCTGGCCGTTCAGTCATCACCATTGACAGGCCTGCACATCCGGTTTGGCAGCACTGCGCAATCCCTCTACGCGCTTTTGATCGTATCACTCGCAATTTCTTGCTTTTACTTCAGCATCGCAGTGCAATCGGTGACTTGGCACGATAAAACAAAAAGAGAAATATAATCGGTTTGTGGTTAGTTTCCAAACGATCGTTGTATCTCGTTCGCCATCGCTGCTTCACATGCACCCTTCTTTCAGAGACCGGCCCGAAAACGCATCACTTTAACTCGAAATGCCGAGCGTTTCTTCGGAAGAGAGAGCGCAAATTGTTTCGCTTTACCGGCACGAAGTGAAACAGCGTGAAATTGCCAGCATTGTGAACCGACTTTTGTCTACTATAAATAGAATTAGCCAGGAATTCCATGATGATGGACTCCGTGATGACAAACCGTGCTACGATACTCGCCTTCGGCTGCAGTAGCTTAACATCTGCTTTTTCTCTTTTTTTTTTCCTTTCAAGTACCATACCTGGAACACAAGCAGAAATATTGCGCTATAGGGGGATCGCGCAGTGCTGCCACACCGGATGTGCGGGCCTGTCTGTGCCAATGACTGGTCGACGGCACGCACTATGCCGTTGATAAGGCTTGTGCTACGCGCTCCGCTGTTCGCGTTTCATTTGATTCCGATAGTATGTCATACAGGTAAATCGTAAAGCGATCGCGATCACAATCAGGTTGTTCTTGCCGTTGGTCTCCGCGATAGCTGGAGCTATCTCGGAGGCCTCGGTTTTGCATCTCGTTTGACAGCGAGAAAGTAGACACGCATGTATCACCATTTGTAGTGTCTACAAACGGAAAACAACCGTCAACAGAATATTCTAGCATACGTAACAAAGCAGTTCAACGCACAGGAAGCGCGAGATCGACGGAGAATGCAGCTGCAACGGTGAAAATTGCCAGGGTCATTCGTGCCACATAAAGCGAGCTTCGATCGTAAGATAGATTGCTCGTGTTAGCACTTCATCACTTTCGTTCAAGTAAAGTGAACGAAAAGATAACTTGCCGCCGGCAGAGAGAACCTGCAACCTTCTAATTACGCCTCCGATGTTCTACCAATTGAGCTACAGTGGTGGTCAGCGCCACGTCCACTTCGTAGGAAATGCTAGTCAGCGCCGATAGTGAGAGCGGTCGTTTTAATATGGATGACAGCAATGAATCCCATAGTGCGTGCAGACTTTTTAATATGGATGATAACAATGAGTGCGATAGTGCGTGCGGTGTTTTAATATAGATGACAGCAATTAATGAAATAGTGCATGCGGACGTTTCAATAAGGATGACAACAATGAGTGCGATAGTGCGTGCGGTGTTTTAATATGGATGACAACAATGAATGCGATAGTGCGCGCGGTCGTTATAGTATGAATGAAAGTACTGCATGCATCCCAAACCATGCCGGCATGGTCGCTTTCTCCAACTATGTGCGCATGAAATACCATTAGTAACGTACGTTTTTGCAGTCAATGTGAAATAGAACGATAGATTATGCTTTTCCCTGGCAGATTGTAGAAAACATTAATTTCCCTTGTGGGTGCACGTTAATTTTATAAAAAGTTCGTCCTCCTTCACGTGCGTCTATTGAGTCATGCCTAGCGAAACGAAGTGTGTGAGGGGGGGGGGAGGTGGGGGGGGGTGTTCCGCGCAACAACAAAATTTCTTTTTCTTTTTGCAATTCTCTTTCTATGCACAGTTAATACCACCTGACCACCTCCTTCCCCCTCATCGGTGCGTGTAAGGGGGGGGGGGGATGTTGTCAGGCAACAACGAACTTTTTTTTTTTTGGCTATTCCTCTCTATGCTAAGTTAATCCCACCTGACCACCTCCTTCCCCCTCATCGGTGTGTGTAAGGGGGGGGGGATGTTGTCCGCGCAACAACGAACTTTTTTTTTTTTTGGCTATTCCTCTCTATGCTAAGTTAATCCCACCTGACCACCTCCTTCACCCTCTCCTTCCCCCCCCCCCCCCCCCCCCCTTGTCTCGCTCGGTCATACGAAGAACCTTCGCGTCAAGAGCCTAAACATGTCCGTCGGCGATTGCCGTAGCCTGTGACGTTGAATGATACTCAACGGCTTACCTATGTGAAGTCCGGGAATCACTTCTCCCACCTGAAGATCGGGTTTAAGGTCGGGCACAAAACCCATTGAGCCGTCAAAACGAGGCGTTGACACGATGCGCGGCTCTCCCTTGGAGTCGCGCACCTCTTCGAACTGTCGGCCGTCTACCGTCTTGACGCTCGTCTTCACCTTCCTTAGCGATTTTACATCAAATGACCTAATGTCATCCATGTAGTTGTAGATGTGATGGTCAGTAACAGCTTTGTAATGCTTACGTCCACTACTCAAAACGAGCACGTTTCCTTAATGCGAAAAGGTGCGCTGTGCCAGCCAGTTTCGAAAATGGGTAGGCAGAACATCATCTTATAGTTTTTGAACTGGCCAAGCTGGTCATTTGGAAACATCGGCTTTCTCGATACCCTGTTTTATTTAGTCACGCTCACGGCATTTGGTAACTTGATCAGCAAACGTACTTGTGCCCACCAGCGACACCTACAATCAGACTCGCCAACAAACGTTATTAAGCAGCCGTATTGTGCTGCCACCTATGCTAAGCGAGAAAAATCATTTCTTGCCACCACTTTTGAACGTTGTAGATTAATTGGCTCTAGTTTACTTGCCCGCGTGCATTTTAAATCTCTGGTTAAAAAGGGCAACTATGTAAAGGTTCATATATAACGTAACCTATTACCAGAGTCCTTCAATTTTTTTCTGGTCACGAAACTCCGCCCGAAGGTTGATATAGGGACAAAATTTGTCGCTAGAGGCGCCACCCGTCGTCTGGGGGCCACAAGCCGCCGTCACTGCTGGGCTTGTATGCGCACTGCGGCCGACGTTTCGACGCGATTGTGTGCGTGCTGTTCTTCCTGTTACCTTTTTTTAAACGTCTCTGAACGCATCAATGCCACCAAATAAATAAGTTTAAACGGGATCCAGTGTCGACGACGAATGAGAGCTGTTTACTTTGGAACGCACGCGTAGTTTACTTGGAAGTGCGGGCCCACCTTATAAACAGCAGCGCATTAAAAGTGTTCTCACACCGCGCGATAACGCATTGTGTCAATAATTGTCTCATAGCCCAATTATATGCATACTTACGACGCCTCGAAGCGGTACTTGCGAGCTATAGCTCGCAAGTGTTGAAAGACGATGCTAATGCTCCATGCTCTTGATGCGAGCAGCTACTGCTTGATCTGCTCGACAACATGTTTGTATTTGCGCCCGGCCAAAGGGCGATTATGTTTATGCGGTAGGTGAGCTTTATATTCTGGTAGGGCCGCTAATAGGGGGAGGAAGGTGAACGAAATGAAACACGACTGGGTAGTACAGGAGCAATCACATTGGTTTATATCCGGCTCGCCTCTCGCGCGCTACTACCCAAGTATTCAAATGAACTGAATGGTTGAGCCAGAAGTTTTATTCCAGACCTTTCAATTGAGTTTATACCCAAATGCGCAGTTGTTTTGGACACACGTTTGTGAGCGCCGATCGCTTTTTTGACGTGGGGACTTTCGATGCCGAGGGCTTTCGCGACCGCTATAAACGTGCCCAACATTTGATTGATCCCTTCTTTCCACGCAGTTTACACGGGACACCCGCCGCTTGACGTTTCCTTGCGTTTACTGTTTAGGGCATTATTATTTACCAGCCGACAACCCATGATTTCTCCGGGAACGGAAGTACAGCAGCCTAATATGGAAGTTCCTTTTGATGCCAATGCTAGTCGCTTGGCCGCCTCTGCCACTACCGAGGTACCTCATCACACATTTGTTTTTATTTTTTGGGTGGGAGGGGGGAAGGGCGTTTATGATTTTAGGCATGCAATAAATCTTAAACTTGGTGCTAATGATACGCCGCCTCGTAGTCAGGTGTGTACTTATGAATGGGAGATTCACATATGGTGCATGTAATGGGGAGAAAGTTGGAAAACATTTATTTACACAAAATACACTGAGAACAACACTTTGGAGAAGAAAAGCACTAGAAACTACTGCAGCTGTTCTGAGCAATGTTACACAATCTGTGACTCTACTGTACAATGTGTATTTCGTTTCATTAACAGCTGCACTTTGCCTTAGCTCACTGCCTAAAATAAACTGTATTTGAATATACACTATTTACACTATATGCAGATAAATATGAATAGTACGAAAATATTACAGTGTAATGTATACAAGATATACAACACTATATACAAATGGGAAGGCGTGCTCACATACACAGCCATTATGCTTAACACTGTGGCTTACGCCCACCACTTGCAGGGCATGAACTGCGCACAGTTGCCTGCGAGGCTTTGTTTTTTTCTCGAGTGAAGAAATGTAATCTACATCTAAAAAAAAGTGTACAACCACAGCTGTTGTCCCTAAAAAGTGCAACAGACACTTCTCCTGCCGAGTCGGTGTTGACATTTTGGCATTCCACTGCTGCGCATTACGGTGACAATTCGCGCCGCCTCTTCGCTGGTTGCCTCTGAGTCGCAGGCCGTGAACGCGGTTTCGGCTTTGTCAGGTACGCCGGGAGCCCGTCAAAAATTCTTGGAACGGCATTCGTGCGAAGCCTCGGTCTCTCTCGCTGAAGCGACACGACCACCCCGTTCACGATGTGCTCGTCGGTTCTCACAACGTCGCTAGCATCAAAATGCTTTTCGCACACCCGAACGTTCTTACTTTCGAAGCTGAAACCGCCAGCTTCCAACCACGGTATAGCTCGCTTCCATTTCTCTCGGAGTTCGGCGCTACTTGGGAAAAAGAAGAGCGACGCCTTTTCTTTGTTGCTTCGGTATCCGGAGCTGCAACCCGTCACACAGCACGTCTTAGGCATTGTTCATTCAAATTTTCATGCCGTCCACCTTGAGCACGGTGCACTGGCTCATAAAGTTCGCGTTTCGCTGATGCAGAAACCGCGAGCTGCCACCACACAACGCCTTCGGGATGCCGCCGCGGCCAGTGCGTTCCGCCGGGCGCAGCGGGGCGATGGCCCCCCTAGGACGGCTTGCGCCGCGTAGCGGCCGCTCTTGGCACCATATCAAGCTCTCCCATAGAGTGACGGAGAAGTTTCGTGACCAGAACGGTATTAAGGGACTGTGCTATTACTAACTGGCCCCACTTGTTTTTTTTTATGATTTTGCATAATTCCTCCAAACGATGCTGTGTTACGCAGGGCGCCAGACTTCTGAGAACTCCATCGACCCCAGCATACCATGACCCTATGTCGCTTTGCAACGTTCCATTTCATGTTCTGTTCTTATCGCGAGTCGCGCCAAATAACTGATCAAGGTCTGAACATAATTTAAAAATCCCTGTTGTGCGTGGAAAACGGAAAAAATATTTTGTGTATTTGCAACGACACCCCGGAAAGGGGGGTGGAGGGGTAGCTGGACGATAGATAGGGTGGTTTTTGTATTTATGATATGGTGATATGTGACGAGATCGAGCTAAGTGGTCTTAGACATCACGATGATCTTTCTATTGTGAGCTTTTTCGTTAATTTTCCGAAGTAAACTGGGACAGATAATCTGCGTAATAAAAAGAAGTTTAAGAGAAAACCTTGCATGACTTGCAGCATTTGTTGTTATTTTCATCTGTCTTTGCGCCAGATTGTTTCAGGAAATCAATTGTTGCCAACAGTGTCCTTGTTCCCCGATTCAATAGCGTTAACAATGCTGATCATACGCTTCGCGATTATCAATCAAGCCAACCTGTTACGCGTAAATGCGCAAGAATTAATTAATCCGAACGAGCAGAGCATCTCTGAAGCACGTTATCGCTGACCTAGGCCTCGGGGGAGCGTCCTCCCTCAAGATTTTATCTTTCACACATTGCATGTTTGAATTGCTTGGCAGTTAGAGATAAATCGCTTTCGACTTTCTTTGACATCTCTTTATTTTGTAGTCCCCGCCGCGGTGGTCTAGTGGCTAAGGTACTCGGCTGCTGACCCGCAGGTCACGGGTTCGTATCCCGGCTGCGGCGGCTGCATTTCCGATGGAGGCGGAAATGTTGTAGGCCCGTGTGCTCAGTTTTGGGTGCACGTTAAAGAACCCCAGGTGGTCGAAATTTCCGGAGCCCTCCACTACGGCGTCTCTCATAATCATAAGGTGGTTTGGGGACGTTAAACTCCACATATCAATCAATCAATCAATTAATCTTTATTTTGTAGCATGAACTTCTGTGCAATGTCTCTCAGCTGTGCCAGACTATTCAAACCGCAACTGCTGCTAGGTCAGTGTCAGAGAAGAGTCAATGGAGCAGTGCAGTTTCACGAGCTGGAAACTAATGCTCATATTTAAATTTTACTTAGAAGCAGGACATTAATTGTTATATTCACAAAAATGGAACCTGCACTTATAGAATTAAAATGGCCACCATCGCATGGTCCCCCCCGTATCTTTTGGGGATTTACCCCAGTGGACACTGATTGGGAAAAGGCAGAAATCTGCCGAGCTCAGATCAGCGCTGAGTCAGCCCTGATGGAAGCCCGGCAAACATCCTGTTCGTAAACACCAGGGAAGCCTCCACGGTCACCTTTTAGGCGACGTTTCTGTGATCCTAGGGGCTGTCACGGAGTTCCAGAGGGAAGCGTCATGGCCACTGACTCCCGGGAAGCTTTCGCAGCATCGCAATCGCGTTGGTTGTGATCGGTGTATCGACATCCAAAGGAATTATTTTTAAGAGTTCAAACAATATGCACCAATGGCTCCAATAAATCCTTCTGAGCAGAGACAGTCCAATTATTTTATAGTAGGACCATGTAGGTTGCGCGAGCGCAGTAGGCTGTTCGAGCAAGCATCATACTCACCGGATTATAACTTACTACTTCTTCGTACACTTCACACGTGATCGAGCGCGTCATTATAACTGACCCATTCTATATTCCACAGGAACGTGGCAGTGACCAGGCCCTGTTTCAAGGTTCAGCGGCATAAGGCACATTTATTTATTCAAAAATTGTACTACGGTGAACGTGATGACAAAACTAAAGTCAGGCACAAGTGAGATATTTACACAACAGACGGGGACCAAAAATTACAAATAGTATCTTTGCCTTGACTAGCATGGGACATTTTGCTTCATTTGACACCTTGAAGGTTGGTGTCAACGGCGCTGCGAACTTGAGGCACAACGAGGCAGCTTTTCGGCACGAAGTCACATAGCCGTTACAAACTTCAACGGCCAACCGAGCACAAAAGACAAACGTACGGGTCCCTAGCACAGCACTTCCGCCACGCAGCCGACGTCAGAGGTTCACAACCATAGCTCGAATGGAGCGCACAGAGTTCGCAAGGTGTTGCCACATTAGGCGTCGGCACGGGACTGTCTTCCACGGCAGCTCGTCTGTTGCGGTCGAAGTAGCAACGTCACGATCTTTCGTCTGGGAAACGCCAAACGATGCTCTGTCGTAAGACTCAAACAGCAGCCGGCGTAGAATCATCTCAGAAGTGGTACGCTTGCTTCAAAGCGGACGGCGAACAAAGCGTCCTACGTTCCACTTATAGCAACACGCGCGCACAGTGTCCTACGACGACATGAAACGTGCACTCCGCTGCGACACGTCATAGCCGCGTGCAGACGGCCGAAACGGGGCACGTCCACCAAGTCACCGGCCGTCTCACATCAAGATGCACGCCTTATGGCGCGAGGGGGACACGTCGCGGGAGCTCTTGGCGTCTGGGTGGGCGGGTCCGAGAGCGGCCCGCGCGGCCGCCTTCCAGGCATCGCGCACGCTTCGAGGTGCGGCCCGGGCGCTCGTCTCCGACGTACGCAACTGCACCGAGCCGAGAGGCCCACGTCAGGGCCTCGTCGGCGCTCACGCATCCTCCTCGCTGGACCATCCGGGCATCGCTCTGACAGCCGATGAGGAGCAGGGAAGCGCCCGGACAATGCTGCCGGACCTCTGGCTGCCACTGCGAACATCGAGAAGAAGCGGGCAAGTTTACATATGTGGGCACGAGCGATATTGCAACATTCGTCTCGGCAACTTACTAAGCAGAACACGCGGAGAACGCTCGGCACGTGCCAACTATCGAGTTCACCTAGACCGTAATATTTTCTCGTACAGCAGTTGAGACCCTAAGTAAAAGGAGCGTGTATTGGCCGCGATAAACAACCCTACATTATTCAATCTTGATGACCCCTAGGACAATGGACCTGTGTGCACCCTGCGCACTCATTTTCTGCTTTCTTTCATAAGCTACAGCTTTGTATGTACAATCTAAATTATAGGAAAGAATAGCCTCCCTCTAGCACGACTTAGTTCGATTTCAGCGGCTTTGACATCTCCTAATTGAATCAGCAGTTTGTAGCATTTTAATACTGCAGTTCAGTTGCGTAAGTGTTATCGTACATATAGTTGTTTTGCAAGTGTAGCAAGCGGCACTGCCGTCAGCAAGCGGTTGCTCACCTTGTGAATGACGTTGTGCAGGGACTCTGGTACACCAACGTTGAAGCACAGCAGCACGACGCTGGCGTCCTTGGTACGATAGTGGCCGCACAGTGTCGTATGCCACGGACCCTGTTGAAAGAACAGCAAAAGTTTTTTCAAACCACTCACCCATTTTTGCTGCAGCAAGAAGAAACGCTTTTTTTTCGTTTCTTAACTACTCACCAGACGTGTCCCAGACGGAGAAGTGGAACTTCTGTCCGGCGGCTTCGTCGGAGGTGGTGTAGCGGTCAAAACCAGTGGGTGTGTAGTCCTGCGCATTTTTGAAAAGAAGAGAGAACAGTGTCATTGACGGCCGACCCGGTTTTTAGCTGTCATTACTTTTTTTTTTCTTGAAGCACTGAGGTTTTATTTACAAGGCGTGCACCTCATTTACTCAACATTGCAAATAAGGTAGATGAACTTAGTATAGCTTCGAGCAAGACTTCCCCAGACGAGTTGACCCCCTTCGGGTTCTTTGACTACTATACGACTACCAGCTACATCGGCTGGTAGTCGTATAGTACTTATGAAACACGATTACACAGTTTTTTTTTTTTGCAACATCCATATATGCTCTATAATCCGCCTTTTTCATGATGCCATCGGGCGTCTGCCCTTCCTTTGGTGGAAAAGTCACTAAACGCCTTACGATCTCCGATGCTCTTCTTCTGGTCGTACCTGTTGTCCCGGTTCCTATCACACTCTACAAAAAAAGCAGAGGTCTTCGCAGAAAAAAAAAGATAAAAAAGGTCAAATTACAACTCCCCCTCCGGTCATCGTCGATATGTGTAGACCAATGCATCACGGTGCCCGCTGTAAGCTACGCGGTTATACACAGTATACATGCAAAGTTTACGCCACGTAACCCAACTCTTGTGTTTGCTGCGAGTCCAGCTCTTGAGACTGTAGCTAAGCTACTTCAGCTTTATGAACACCATACGATACGCGCTCATTGTCGAAGCCTAAAGCAGGGATCGAAACCCTGCCTAAACACCAGTCCAAGAGGCGACGTTGTCTCGACAACTCAGTATCGAAACACTTGACAGCGCAGTCAACATGATATTCCGGTCTATGTCGGGTACACAAGCAGCTCGAATCAACACTTCAACGTTTATCTAGACGTGCCCATCTTTCTAGAGATAAAACGTCGAAAATGTGGATGTACTCAGACTGTTGGGAGCAGCTCCAAACCCAAAGTTGACCCGTCATTCGCAACTCCACTACAAGGGGTAGCAAAGATTTGTCTCATACACCAAAGGCTCGTTAATTCGACATTCCTTACTTCGGAAAATCAAATAACTCGGACGTGCTTTTTTTAGTACCGGCAAGCATATGCCATTTTTGATGGCATCACATCCGTTATTTCCGTCCCATTTGGTTGCAACCCGGTTAGTTCGGACGATCTTCGGAGAGTGGCGAGTTCTAAGCGCCGCAAAATGTGCGACGCGAACGGGTGAGAAACGGCGTCCGCGGACAACTGAAAAGAGGCGGCGCTGTCCCCAGCGCTCTCTAGGGAGCCTTCATGTGCGCGTCGCCTCCGTGACGGAGCGCACATGAAGGCTCTCTCTACACTCGTCGTTATTTGTATCAGCTTTTGGCCGTAGTTCTGCCCACAATTGATCCGGCCCTCAGAACTTTCTCTTTAACTTGGTGCGATGCGGGCGCAATGTCGCAAAACTCAAACATGGCGTGAGCCGCTGAAGATGAAAAACTTTCAGCGGCTCTCGTTGTTGCAGCATAACACTCGTATACCGTGTCGTGATGTACGGCCTATCAGTGGCCGGCGGTTCTTTCACCTGCGAAAGAACTATCGTCTCGCGCGCGAGGTGGTGGTGGCGGTACGTGCGATAAGGTGGTGTACGCCACATTGAAATTGCCTCACCAAAGCGCCGTGACGTCACCAAAGCGCCGTGACGTCACGTGACGTCACAGAAGCCCGGCGTAGTTCTTGATCAGTAGAAGTGGTGCACACCTTTTCCTCTGAGGGGGCTATAATTTTGCATATCAAGTTTGAGGATGTTTCATAAAACAAATGTACCAAAAATACGAAAAGTACACTGAAATCCGCGACATCGCGCGCGGTGATTTCTGGGCGAAATGTGAAAAATTAAACTCCGACCTTGATTATGTCCCCTATTAATAAACCAATCATGGTGAAATTGACAACGTTAGAGTTCTGAAAGTGCAATTTGTCGATCTAAGCCAATTCGTCGTGTCAGTATATAGTGTCCCCCTATAACGCCGAACAGCCAAATTACTCACCGTCGTGAATACATCGCTCACGAAGCGGTTGGCCAGCGCAGTCTTTCCGCACCTGTTGTCTCCAACCAGGACGACCTTCAGGGGCTGCTCGGGACACAGTCCCGGCGCACGGGGCTCGGCCGTCGGCTCGGCCTGCACGAAACCACAAGAAGCTACGAGTTAAACCCAACATTCATTCAGAAAGGCGAAGCAGCAACTGCGGAAGTGAGAGTTTTAGGGCAGAGCCAGTGTGTATAAGAAGTACTTTTCTTACACCGCGATCAAAACGTAGAACACCCACAGAAGCTATCCGGCCTTTCGGTAAAACAATCTTACGCTATAGGCCAAACTCCGCGAAGTGAAAGGGGCAGTCAGCTTACTGCGAAGAAAAAAACAACGCCTTGCTGAATGTGCAACTGTGGTCACGTCGGCTTTTAACTCTCTACGTGTTATCTCACTATTTGGTTATTATGAACGCCCACATGTGCCTGCAGGATGCAACCCAACTTTAGAAAAAGCAAAGTCCAAACGCCGAGTTTTTTCCCGACCGAGGTCAATGTCGGATTGTTCAGGCGTTGCAAGTTCCTTCCTCGTCCTTCCCCCGTCGACCCCCCGTGAGGGGTAGTTGATTCACGAACGGTAAAACGACTGTCAGTACAGTCCCGTATGTCGGTATTGAACACCAACACAATGGGACGCAGAACAATGCAAGACACTGACAGGTCTATTGCCTCGCGGAAGCTTTGATCGAGCATTTCGGAGTGTCAGCACGGGGTTACCCCCACGCCGCTATTGCGCAAAACTTATTCGAGTCATGCTCTCTGCAGATTTTGGAGGTGGCTTTTATTAACACAGTACTGGTGAAACTGCAATTTGGAAATAATGCAGCTAACATGGTACACTGCAGGGGATGCTCGAGCGCTCAAACAACGACGCCACAGATATAAGTAAACGAGCATGCCACCACTAGTCACAGGAGAGCTCTACAATGAATAAATGATTTGAGGGGTTTAAGCTGGCGAACCCGTCGGAAGTGATTTAACTCGATTTTTTTTTCGATTGCCTAAGGTTTTTTAACGTGCACTGACCACGCAGAGTACATGGGGGGCTCTAGAAGAAAAAACAATGGACATAACAAGAACACAATGTTTAAGAAGTCCCCGGTTAGTTCTCCCGCATTCGTTGCAACACTTCGAATACGAGCATATATGCTCGTATTCGAAGTGTTGCAACGAATGCGGAAGAACTAACCGGGGATATACGAGCAGTTCCAACACATCATGGAGGACGCGGACACTAAATTGAGCCAAATTACGCTACAACGGTGTCGGTCACTATACGTGGTGGTTATGACGCACACACTAGAGTCAAACAAGTGATCAACGGTGCCCCAAACACGGTCGCGGGAGCTGGAAGATAAAACTCACGCAGCAAACTACGTCCCGGTCTGCGTCCAGCCTGTCGTACCGTAGTCCGCGGGCGTTAGAGAAGAGCTCCATCCTGTTTTGCACGCGGTAGCGAGACGCCCAGCTGGTCGTCTTCGGGGTAATCACGCATTCCGCCTGGCGCGATCGCGGTAAGAGGCTCGCACCCTTTCGAGCAAGGCGGCCGATGGCAGCGCTCCAGAAACCACTGAAGAACAGTGCGGCGAACTGCGCAGCGCTCGCCGAGGCTCGTGATCGGCTCCGGTCACAACAACATTGCCTATAGTGACCAGCTGGGCGAGCACATCGCCGATGAGTGAGCTCGCTGCAGCGAGCAAACACTGGAGGTGTGCGCTCTCTCCTACGACGCAGTAGGTTTTTAACCCGAGTCAAGACGTCAGAGCAAGCAGAGTCTGGCCAGGGCCAGCCGCATTGTCTGCGCCGCCAACGCTTAGCGGCATTGTGCAACGCGCGCGCGCTAACGTAAGGACGGAGAGAAAGTTGCCTGCTGTGCGGGCTGCCAAAACAGCGCCGCGCTCGCTGACGGTCGACCGCGAACAACCACGGACGTCAGTTGCTGCGCGCGGTATACCTGCGTTAGCAAATAAGGTGTCCGCGCGGCTGGAAATCACCGCCGTGAGCACCGCGTGATCAAGACCCCTTTCCACCGACGGAGCTTGGCGTTGATGCCCGTCGGGCGTTGGCGTCCGCTATTGCACGGGAAAGCTCGACACATCTCGACTCAAAGGAAAGTCGCAAAGGGTGTAGGGGCGCTCGAGGAAACAATGCAGAGTGCGCAGCACAAAGCTTTCTGACCTTTACAGAACAAAGCTGGCTAACGAAATTCGTGACGCACGGGGCGTAGAATAAAAAGGCGACACCCACGGCAGGTGAAAGAGTTCCTCACCTTGTTGCGGCCCTGTCGTCGCGTGCTGCCCCAGCGTGCGAGCGCGTCCATGGACCGAGTGCGACGCTTTCTCCGGCTGCCCTATCTGTATCAGAGATACGCCGCGTGCCCGTCTCCTCGCTTATCGACAAAGCCAACGGCGAGCACATTCCTCTGGTGGCTCAGGTGCACGTCGAGAGCTCTCAAGGGCGCAGCCAGAACCCGTCATCAGCCGGTACCGATGGCTACTTACGCGCGTATGCCGTCGTCGTGCCCGGCAATAATTTTCTCCGCAAGCAGGCCGCTTGTGCCGCGCCGCTATTCTTCCTCTCAAGCACGTTTTGCGATCTATAAGATTCTCGGCTATACTTTTTCGAAGCTGCCATAACCGCGTGCGCGTCCTACTTGGCGCTTGCGTCTTGCATGCAGGGAATACGGAGGTTGCGATTTTCGAACTCATCCGTTTTTTGTAAAAGGTAAGAACAGTGCATTCGAGACGACAAACGGGATTATATGTTTTTATTCAGTATACTTACAGGTGAAAGTAGACTGAGAAATTATGTGTAACTATGTTGTTTTCGTGAAACATGCCAAATCAGTTGAGCGGAACCTCGCAAGACGGAGGAATGACAACGAAAGGCGAAAGAATTTGTCAAATAGACACCCGTTAGGGGCACAAAACTACACTGGAAATTCATGCGGATTTATCAAAAAGAAGGTTCCCTAGTTGACGAAGGTCTCTGACAAGGAAGCATTTTCAATCAATTACACATCTTTACTTTCAGAGAAATTCGTACGCATTCTCCGTGTAGCTTTGCGCTATTCAAACAGATGGATGCCAATTTTAGCCAGGGCTTACATGTTTTAGGTTTGTACTTCTGTTTATTTGCTTTTTTCTGATAAACATGTTTCGCCGTTTCAGTATACGGGTCGATTCCCCGCGCACACGCCTAAACATATGTTCACAATAGTGTGGTTGTTCTCAAGTGCACTGAAAAACAAATGTACAAGTTCAATTTATGGGTGCACGTATTTGATTACGCACGCAAAGAGCACATGTTTGCTTACATCGTGGTTCCACTTTTGACGCTTTCTCTCTGCATGGATGCAGCGGCCCCTCACGCTGTCAATGATTTGATGCGTGTCGTGAAAAAGCGCAGTTTTTTTAGAGCAGCCCGTGTATTTCCGCAAGTTCGAGCTGGCCATCGAGACATGGCCGGTCTCTCGAAGCTCCACATCAAGACGAATATTTATAGCGCGAGAACAAAACGACGACACAGAGACAAGAAGGACACGAAGGACACGTCTCTGTGTCGTCGTTTTGTTCTCGCGCTATAACTGTCGTCATGCCATACCAACTAGCGCAAGCTGCCACACTTCCACATCAAGCTGTACCAGCCAAGAATGTAGCTGCGCCAAAACAGGCGGCAACGGCGAAGGAAAACAGGCGGGAATTCGCGCGTCCTTTCGGTTGGCCAAAGTGAAGCGCCAAGTTCTTCCCTTAGAGTGCTGTCAGTAGGAGGAGGGGGAGGGGCGTAACGGAGGGAGAGGAGGTGCCCCGTATCTGCGGATGGAATGCTGGCGAGCCGGCTTCCGTCCAGGGTACCGCCCGTTCCCACGGTGAAAACCCCCGCCACCACTCCCAGCTTTTGCCCTCCGCCACTGACATTTGGACTGCCCAGCCGTTTTTTAAATGCGTGCAGTACAGCGGAAGCCAACGGACATTCATGCCACTCCCCCGCTTATTTGCTTCGGCTTCCCTTTGAACCACACTTCGTCTCAATTGACCGCGAAATTACGCAAATTAGGCAGCTCGGACGAACCCCGCCGAAAGTGGTCGTGACGCTTGTCGAGCAGGATATGATATCATACTGAAGTACGTAGAAATCAAGCGTCAATTAAGCATTCAGTGAGCCCATTGCCCTTTGTTGTTTACTCGAAGCCTCTAAGCGCAAAGCCGAGAGAGAGCGCTGCGGGGGCCGTGCACGGAAAACACGAATATTCGTGCCGGTCGCCCGCGGTTGCCCGCCCAGAGTGGTGCACGCAATTAAGAAAGACGCCGCACCCTTCCATTCGTGTTCTCCCTCAGTGCGCTCTCGAGTACGTCGTCCATTCATGGGTTCTCGTATTCCAGACTTGGCTTGCTTTTGTTTTAGTCGCACTTGCGAGAATCTCGTGTGCTTTTACAGCGGCGTTCATTCCCGCCCGTTCTTCCCGTCGTCAGCCGCAAGTTGTTGAGCTAGGCGCTTCGGAGAGAGCGTCTGTCTGCTTCGACGTTGTCGCTATGTCTTGCGAAGGCAAAGCCCCCTCTCCCTACACTTTTTAATTAACTATTGGTCGAGTTCTTCAAGGAAGCTGCCACACTATTGTTTCCATTGTCATTCGGAAACGAACTAAATAGCCTTCTTTCTCACGACCACTACCGTTCTTTCACAGCGCCACTTGGCGACACGCTGATATATAAAAAGAATACCCAGAAAGTTACGACAACATAAGTATAATTCGACAACACCACAATTATTGTACTAAATTTACAACCGATGAAATCATAAGGACATCCTTAGATATTGGCTTCGCTTACATTGCAAGTGCAGGCAATGGATGAGAAGCGATAGCCGATTCAATACGGAAGCCCTTGCGGAAAGACCAGTTGCTTGTCCCGTCGATATTTAAGAACTCGCTTCGTATATTGCATCGCCAATATCGTCATCACGAGTTCTGAGACGCATCTGAACCTTGCCACCTTACCATGTATTCATTGTCACCAGCACGGTCAGCCACTGACGGAATAACTCAAAAACATTCGCCACCTTACGTTCTTCGAAGTTTATCCAAGCCGAAATGCCCTCTTTCTTTAGTTCACCACACCACTTTACACTAGAAACTTCGAGGCGTGTCTCGAGGCAACGTGGATTCAGCAGCGTTGTAATAAAAGTTTTATTCCTCGGCAGCGAGATGGAAAGGAACTTAAAGGTTCAATACCACGAAGCGTAGCGACATTACCTTTTCACGTCCCTCGTGTGGAGCTTTAACTAGCTGCGAAAGCTATCATGAGTAGCGACATGCGCAGCGCAACGTATTTACCACTCGTCCCCCCCCCCCCCCCCCCCCCCCCCCGCGAAACCACCGTGTCCTTCTTGTCTCTGTGTCGTCGTTTTGTTCTCGCGCTATAACTATCGTCATGCCATACCAACTAGCCCAAGCTGCCACACCACCTCATGGGCGCGTCCCCTCTGTGCCGTGTATCAGCTATCCTAACTTTATTTTTTTTAATGTCGTTGTGCCCGCGGTCAACGTGTTTCCACGGGGCGGTTTTGCGGTGGTGAGACCCGTTTATTTCTCACGATGCCTATCTACCTACCACAAGCGGGTGAAAACAGTGCCCCCGGCATTGCAGGTGCGCGCGCCGTCGCAAGCCGGGTGCTTTTGCTGGCCCCTTATCGGCGCGCTGTGCCGAATTTTTCTTGCTTCGCGCCGTTTGGGTCATAAGCGGCCGCTTGCAGTGCATCTCGCCTACGCGGACACCACAACCACCGGACTTGTCGTTGCACTGCGCGCTCTTGTCGTGAGAATCGTCCACAGCCGCGGGCGGACCCGGTTCGGTTGCGCTCCGATTCGGCGCTGCCGATGATTGCCGGACGAAGGACTCTTTTTGTTTTTCTTATGTTCGTTTGTATTCGTGCTTCGACCGCCCCAAACACGCTTGTTTTTACGACTGACTGGCCGTACCTCGTCGGCTTCCACTGGCGTGAACGGAAGGCACTGTCGTCCATTGCAGCCCTCTCACTGAATCGGAGTCTGCTTATTTCGAGAGATATCTGCGGGGGGGATAGCGACCTCTAGTCGATAATTCACAGTGTCAGTAAAACCGAGATCACGCATGGTGCCGAACTTTCGGGATACAAAGAAAAAAGAACTGAGACAAAAAAAAAATGCTAGTGCGGAAGTACGTCTTATCAACACGTCGTAAACGTAAACTTGGAGGCGCACATTCAGACGGGCGGGTTTAACTTCGCAGCTCAGCGATAATAATAATAATAATAATAATAATAATAATAATAATAATAATAATAATAATAATAATAATAATAATAATAATAATAAATGAGAAAGCTGCAGACTCACTTCCTATTCTACGCCAGCAATGTCGTCGTATCGTATACCGGCTAGTGTACTGCGTACTTGACAATCACAACGACACGATGATATCGTGACCGTTTTTAACTGTCCATAACTCTCAAAACAGCATCTGACTGAAGCACAAATCTTCTACTGAGATTAACATCTAAAATATGTGGATGTAAAGGGAAATATGAGTAATAGATAGCATCAGTATATAAGCACTTGGCACGGTCCTCGACAAGAAGACAACGTACTCAAGACTGTTTACCTCTATCGACGCTCGAGTTAAATCTAGTATGGTACACTATATTTCCAAAACTGGAGCTGTGTGTGGGCTCTGTCCACGCAGTGAAAGGCGATGTCCATTACTATCTCCTTCGAGCTCGAATTAACAAACTTTTACTTTATAATAATAATAATAATAATAATAATAATGCAATAAAAATTCTTGCCCTCTACCACAACGACTTTTGTGCTATTTGGTCCGATGAGCCAAAACAAGACCTCATAGAAGCTGTTCTTACACACGTAATTCAAAGATCACCACCATGTTCTTTATCGACACTATGATTAGATCATACATAACGGACAGTTAACTCGTTAAGTAGAATAAATGTTCTCGTTTTACCGGATAGTCTCACTACGCAAATCCCAGGCTCGTACATTGTGCCCGTGTACATAGATAAGGCGTCCCTGATAGTCATATCGCGGTTTTAGAACCGTACGTAAAACTCCAACACAGTAATGGAAGTGACTTTTTTACTTTCTGGAGCATACTTTGGAGCAGGAAAAGTACGGTTTTTAAGCAGCCATAAGTGTTTTCAGGGCGGAAAAAACGTTAGTTTGGAGCAGTTATTTGTGTTTTAGGAGCACATACAAAATTTGTCATGCACCAATCAAAGTTCGAAGCATCGTCTTAACATCTAGCAAGTAATCATATTTATTATGAAATACATTTCACAGACTGCAATGAATGCAAATTTCAAGAAGCAAACAAAAAAAAGCTCACTGGTTGTCAAAAAAGGGGGACTGTGAAATAAGCTATATATTTAAAATACTAGTACTTGAGGCACAAATCAAATCAAACTAATAAAGCTGAGCGCCACATTTTAGAAGTAACCACAGTTCCACATAACTGTTGTCAAATAAGCAGTAGATAATCGGTGCGAGATTAAAGCGATTCTACTCATTTTCACGTTACACCATCCTGGCCTGCATGTCGAGCTGTTAAAAAAAGCCAAATGAGCTATATGCTTAATATGCCTGTTCTTGTGGCATAAATGAAATCAGAGCCGATAATGCTGCACACTAGTAGCATACTGGGATGACAGTACTTAAATTCTTTTTCAGTTTCTTGAGACTTAGGAGTTGGTAAGACAGTGAAAGTTCGTGATCCTCATTATCTCAGTGCCATTTCGGAGCAGGATAGGAAAAATTACTAACAAAAATTACTGTTTGGAGCAGCATAATAAAAAGCCTTGTTTGGCACGTTGGGTCATTCTAAAATATATTTGAGCGCAAATGGAGAACACACAAGAAAAGAGCACTAGTACAGCCTTCTTGTCCATTTGCGCTCAAATCTATTCCAGAATGAAGCAGCACTTCCATTGCTGCAAACATTATTATTATGCCCCGCCGCGGTGGTCTAGTGGCTAAGGTACTCGGCTGCTGACCCGCAGGTCGCGGGATCGAATCCCGGCTGCGACGGCTGCATTTCCGATGGAGGCGCAAATGTTGTAGGCCCGTGTGCTCAGATTTGGGTACACGTTAAAGAGCTCCAGGTGGTCGAAATTTCCGGAGCCCTCCACTACGGCGTCTCTCATAATCATGTGGTGGTTTTGGGACGTTCAACCCCACATATCAATCAATCAATCTGTCAATCAAACATTAGTGTTATATTACACGTTCTTAGAGTGACATTACTTGACAGGTTTATTCTATTTTACGTAGCAGTGTGACGTGCGTCATGAACTTACCGTGTATCCGTAGATTGGCTGCCTATGTAAAGTGCCACCCACAAGGCATCGTGTTGTCGTAGCGGTAGCCATGGCTGCCGTCATTGCCATCAGGCTTCAGGAGAAGGAACTGCACAGAATGGGCCAAGAGTAACCAAAATGAGCATTGACTTTTTTTTTTCTTTTTTTATTAGGTATACTACGTCAACGCAGTACCGACTGTCCTGATCTTCAAAATACGTGGACAAAAGCCGTCACTACCCGTACAAACGTATAGAAAGCCAGTTTCCAACGACTGCCACGATAAAGAAGAAGCACCAGTAGGTGACAACATACATGTCGAAACACGCTGAATCGCCTATCACAATGACCCCAACTGCCGTTGGCTAGGAAACCAAGTAGCGCCAGAAGGTGCTCTACGTTGAGCATATTGCGTGCCAACCTGAATAAACCTGAACAATTGTGACGATAACTGAGGCTTCGCATTCCATTATGCATAGCGAGAACATGGCTGTCGAGGCGGACTTTTCTACAGGCTGCAGGAAAAGGGTAGGATAGCAAGAAGCAGTCAGTGCAGCAGCTTCCATGTCGTGCCGCTACAGGAAGACTCATTCGCGGTGTCAGTTTGCGACGGGTCATCTAATACCCGTATCTCTTGTTTCAGAGACCACAATGAATGCTGGCAGCTGGTTTCAACAGCGGATAGCCAACTGCGATCGGACCCAATGACAAGGTTTTTTTTTTTTTGTATGGTATATTCAAAGTAAACAACAAAAAACAAGGAAAGCGAAATTAAGACAAGCGAGAACGCAGGCACACAGAAAGCTTTCGAACCTATGCTAAAAGGTAGCGTAGGCATATAAGGAAGAGGGCAGGGAGATGGAGTGTCACGCAGGACACGAAACAGTCCTCCCATCCACGTCTACGTCAATCAGTACGCAAAATCCCGAACATCTCTCACTAAGCAATTCTTGGCTGCGTCACTGATCTAAATCGACGCCGCCATGTCCTGGTTGCGATACAATGATAGCTTAATGCGCACATTTATCGCTGTCTCCACTGAGCCTGGATCCGCAAGAGGGCAACACCATCGCCGCGCCATTTTGAAGGCCTGTTCGTACGCTCCGTGCCTGCTGTCCATGTTTCGGAGTGCAGAAAGTGCTCCGGAGGTCGCTAAGCATCCAAGTTGCTGTGCGGATTTCGATCACGGCTTGTGCAGCTAATTTTGTGCGCGTGCGACGAGCGCGCGGACCAACAAAATGGCGACCACGACGCTAGCGACCCTAGCGGATGACGTCAAGTACATACCCCCTACACAATCTCATGTAGTGTTTGTGCGCTATTAACATATTGTTTAAAAACTATGGCGAAACACAAATACCACTTAATGAATGCGCACATAGTGAGACGTCGACGCGACGGAGAACAAAGGCGACGTATAACATATTTTGGAGCTGGGCTGCACAGAGAAAATGTGACGCACATATCGGCGGTAAATGCGCACGAATCGGCTCTATAACACGCCTGTGCCCCAGTTTCCCAACTGACGACATTCTAAGGGAGACATAGGCGGGGTCCATCGCTGCATGGACGAAAGGCGCGAATAGACAGCGGATGTCGAGAGGACAGAGAAGAGTAGCGCGATTGCGTTGGCCCCGAACGAGGAAACGCTTCTTTCGAATCGGCCCATCGCTACTTGAGCAGCACGGCAGGCTGGCCGTGAAGTGGCCTAAAATTGGATCCTCTGGATGAACGGTTGACGCTCCGGGGCTCTAGCAGCGCCGGTTTATGTCGAGGAAGTTGCGAGCGTCTACACGGAAACGTAACGACGAAACCACTATCGAAATACCCCCGCGCTCCTTCTAGTGAAGCACGAGTGGTTCCTCTTGAGCCAGAGTCCGCATAGAACGTCATCCCTTCACGCCTACCCGGATACAACGACAAGATTGTATTTTGTAACAGTTTAGGGAATCAACCTGATAAGAACAAGACGATAGCGTGTTCTGGCAAGTAATTTCAAAAGCCCGTGTTCCTGGTGATAAAGTACACAAAATGAAACGTAATTTGCTTTTGTAAGCCTCTTTTTTTTTCTCGCGTATTGCTAAGCAAAGTAGAAAAAGAGGAAAAAAAACTTGGGAGGGAGATGGGTGCTCCAGGGGTCCCTCTGCAAGCGCATGCCAAAACGTGCCACACACAAAAAAAAGTTTGAACTTTCTGTGTTCCTATCGTTCAGCGTCAAACTCTTTTAAGTGATAGCCGATATTAAATTAATGTACGTCTCTCGTCACTGCACTGCCTGTCGCTTACTTTTACAGAGAAACACTATTTTAGGATGCACAGCGTACATTCGATACGCAGGGTGGGCGTGCCTAAAAAGGTCGTCCTAAGCTTCACCACCGAGCTACATTTAGCAGTGCGCAGACCCACCTGCGGGCCAGAGTCGGTGTCGTCCACACGTTGGCAGCGCCCGTAGTAGGTCGATGTGCAGGCCTCACTCGCTCGAATGCAGGTCGTCTGGCCGGCCGTTCGTCCGTCGATCAGAAGATGACCACCGGCGAGCCAAACTTCAATGGGCAAGAACGGGTGCGCTCTCCAGCGGCAAGGAGGTCGTACTAAGCCGCGTGCAAGCAGCGCGCTCCGACAACGCAGAAGCGGGCAACCGGATGGGAACACGAACTCACGGAGACTGCAGCGTGCACGTCTCTTCTTCCGCGGCCGCCTCGTGTTCCGACGTGCTTCGGACCTCCACGGACCTGTCCGCGCATGCCGAGAGAGAGGAGGCCAGGGGCTCTTTCTTTGCCTGCCGCCGAATCACGCGGATGCCTTCTTTTTCGCACGCCGCTCTCTTTTTCCCAGAGGGGGGTCTCTCTCCTCGTGATCTCTATTCCGTTTTTCTTCGACCAGGGTTCCCCCTCGTGGGGGGGGAAGAGGTGTACGCGTACGCGCGGGGGGTCGTTCCGTCTTCCGAGAGCTCGCTCGGCAGGGCCAGCGAGGAATGCGTTGAGTGCCACTATGTTCAACCGCCGCGTATGCAGAGGAAGAGCGCGAGGGAGACTGCGCAAGTTCAGCGCACCACGGCCCCCGCCGGCAGCACGCCGCGGGGGGAAGAGCGAAAGTCCCCAAACAAACCAGCAAACTTCAGCAGGCGAGCTCCTTGGAGCCGCCAGGCCGCGCAGCTTCAGCTGACTCTGCGTTGGTTCTGGTGTGCGGTGTCCATTGACGGCGCCCAGACTGGCACGCCCGGAATCTTCGGGGGCCTGACGGTCGGCTCGAAGGCGTGTCTTTTCCAACTACGGGGTCAGCAGGCGCACACGGCGGCTCGCCCGCAAAGGGCACTCTTTTCATGGTCGACCATTTTACAACACTGGATACCGCAGAACTATGAGCGGCTTCTCAAATAGCGGCCTCGCGTTTTCTTGCCCGGAGGAAAAAATGCTCTCTCTTTCTCACTGATCGCTCTCCTTCCGGGAGCAGAGATGTTTATTTCTCTAGCCCTTCATCCGCCTTGAAGCATTCTGTCGAGATATGCACCCCCTCTCCTTTCTCGAACGGAGAACGGAATGTGGCCACTTGAATACAGACCAGCCAGGACACTTTCCGCACGCATTCTCGCGTTCAAAGGCTGATGAAAAGATCGACCGTTGCATTCCTTGGTAGACGAAGGCGTTGCGTCGAAATTCTCAAGGTCGGCTCCCGGAACGCCGTCGTCCTTTCCATCGGTGAACCGATCGTACCTCTCTTTCCCCACTCACGCAAACAGGCTCCCGCTGCATTTTCGTCCGCCCATAATAACTATGGTATACCTGGCTGAGCGATAAGTGTTTCCGCCTGTGGCAACATGTACCCGCGTGTCTGCAACAGTGAAGTAGTATGACAGACTGGGCGTGTTGATTGAAAAGCATGCGGTACTTGAACAAAAGGCAGGACCCAGGAAGATAATGTACGGGGTTCTGTCTTTTGCGCTGTTCTTCAAGTACCATTGCACGTGGGTAAAACTCGCCGTTAGCAATGTGATCTGTTCCCCCTCCCAGCACCGTTGAAACGATCTGGTTGCTCACTGTCCACCTCCTCTAGGCATCTTGATTTATACGAAATTTCATCTCGAATAATATGGCTAACTGGACATTCATGGACAGCCTTGTTTAACTGGAAACGTGGACTCAAAGGCGAAACACAGAGACGAATATGGAGAACGACACGTCATGAACTCGCATACCGGCTTCGAAATAGAGAAGTTCACTGACAAAGTCCACGGAGGCAAAACACGTATGCAGTAGACTATCGCTTCTGCGTAATACGCTTTTCGGCCTAACGCGTTCTTTTCTTATTCCTGGCCAACGTTCACTTTAAGGGGTGCATTTTCAAGCGTTTAATAATAATAATAATAATAATAATAATAATAATAATAATAACGATGTTTATTTTTCATCAATAGTTTGATGAAGGACAGCTGCAGGTAAAAGCTGCTCTCCAAAAGAGGCAGCTTGACAAAGGCCCACAGCTACCTTTTAGCACGACAGCAGTGGCAAACAATCAGCAATGTGAAGTCAACAACAATAACAAGAACACGAAATAGATAAATAAATAAAAAATAAATAAAGATATAAAAATCAAGTCCAAATTCCAAAAATAAAAATAGCAACCATGATAACACAGCAACTGCAAAGAAATCCTAAAAACTGAACATGTGTATATCACGCAACCGAATCTGTGTACAATGTAAAAAATCTATGCCAGCTTTCACATATTTACTAAGTAACGTAGGAACTATACGTAGGATAACTTATCTGTGGAGTAGTTTGTTCTCGAAGTTTTTATTTGCCATGTTTCTTTATTTCGTGCTTCACACAATGTAATATTTGGCTGCAGTCATGTAATACTTAGCTACGATCACATTTTTGCCCAAAATTGGATAATTCGGCCATGAAAGCTGATATTGACCGATACGCCATGAAATGCTGCGTTTATTGTTCGGTATACTATCTCAAACGGTGTTCCAAGAAGCACGGTGAAAAGAACGCTGCCGGTGTCGCGGGTGCGGCCGTCGCGTCCAATGATGAAAACAATAGCATCGCGAGTTGACCAGCTTCTCTAATGTTGCTCAATAAAAGCTAGTTGCTTACGGATCATCGATATTTTCCTTTTTTTTTTCAATCACTTTGGTCCGTTCACGTCACCGTGGCCACTATCTGCAGGTGCCGGCTGGTTGAGGCGCTGCGTTAGATCACCCTATACGCGCGGAGCAAGAAACTGCGAGATTACATCAGTGCCGGTGCCCTGTTCCTACGTGTTCACCCTTGGCGCACCTAGCGAACAGTCGACAGGAGGGGAAACACAAAAGAACGCAGGGGACAGAACAACTCCAACGAGATAAAAAAAAGTCATGGTGGTTGTCATGTCTAGGTACCCAGTGCAGAGAACTTGTCTGTGACGTCACGTGAACACTGTATATGTTTTGTTTACCATTTCGTTGCCGTGCAAAACGTATCGTATTCGCTTAGCCGTGAGAAGATTTGTTGCAAATATATAACCTGGAATGGCCTATTGACGCACACATCTTCATGTAGCAACTCCAGACAGCTTAAAATATCAACAAACACAGGAATTCTCGCCACAAGAACGATTATCGAACATAATGAATGTTAGGCCTGTCGGGCAGAAGTCAAAAAGAGCCGAGGTGACGGTAGCGCAGTGCACTTAACGAGCGTGCATCGAAAGGGCCTAAACCACAGGTTAGTCACAAGTCTTCAACGTGCAACCATGCTGGAATAGCACGTGTTGACGCCACGTCTCGTCAAGGTTGCATCATACAGGCCCTCACTGAGACAGACCCCAATCTGGTGACCTTCATCTAAACGAAGGTCGCCAGATTGGGGTCGAGAACAATGCATTTTTTCGCCAACAGTTAATGAGTGGTAATTACTTTTAACTTCATTGAGCGTCAATCTTTATTGTTTTACTTGCTCGTCGGCTCCTTGTCATCCTTCGCAGCAGTGGCGAATCAACGACCATAATATGAAAAAAAAAAACATCTCTCTATTTTATAAAACTAGAAGAAGCTTGAAGATTCAGCTATGACCGGAAAAGGCAATGCAGCATCTTGAAGAACAGCTAATAAGCTGCTCAGTAGCTGCCTAACTGTCTCTTGAGATGAAATGGTGTTCAGGTGTTGACCTTGGCTAAACCTAAGAAAGCCGAAATAATTTCACCTAAAAACTACGAAACGAAGGAATATACAAACTTGTTCATTTGAACAACATTCATCGTTATGTAATCGAGATTGCCCGGGCGAGTCGTTCCAAAAGGAAATGTAGGAAAGTGTAAATTTAAGGGCTCGTTTTTTTAATGTTAGACACACTATTAATGAGAACTAACTTATAATGATGCCTAGGAAAATATAGGTGACATTATTAGTAGTAAGCGTAACGTAAATGTGACGAAAGAAAAGTGGACGGAGATATAACTTGCCCGCTAGCAGGGAACGAACCTGTGACCTTCGAATAACGCGTCCGATGTTCCACCAACTGTCACTGTCTGTTCTTATTAATTATGCATCTAAAGGAAATGTGTCAATTTCGCGAAGGACCACCTAGCAGAAATACAGCGAGAGTGTGGTCAGGGTGTATAGTCAAGCCTGAACGTGCCCGTCGGCGAACACAGAGCCGACAGCGGCGGAATGACCTCAGCTTCGATCTGTTCCAGGTTCCCAGCCTCTCCAGGAACGCACCTGGATGCAGGCCACTCTTGACGTCGGCAATCCTTTTTTTGTACTCCGAGCACAAAAGAACAGCGCCTCCTCCTCCAGCGAGATGCCAGATAAGGGGAGGGAGCTACACAAAAGGCCGCATAGCGGTGCCTTTGCGCGCCACCATGCCTTTGTGCGTTCAGCCCACGCATAAACCCCTAGAGATGGGTCGTTTACCCACCTTCGAACCGCGCATGCGAAGCGTACAATGAGAGTTCCTGTCATCGCAAAAAGGCATAAGTTCTTTTTTTATTCTCTCTTTGTTTGTCTCATTGTTGACTACTTTTATGCTACCGTTGTTGTTAAACCCATTTCACCCTGCTTTACAGCTAGAGGGAAAATCCCCGGTGCTCAAGTTATAACCCGCCGCGGTGGTCTATAGTTGTTATGGCGCTCCACTGATGACGCAAAGGTCACGGTATCGAATCCCGGCCGGGGTTCGATGGAGGCGATTATGCTAGAAGCCCATATACTTCGATTTTAGGTGCTCGTTAAGGAACCCCAGGTGGTCGAAATTTCCGGATCACTCCATTGCGGCGTCTCTCACTGTCGTAGCGGGATTTTGGGGCAAATAAACGCCCTTGACCGTTGTTATTATTCTTATTCATCTCCACCAACGCGACGTGCAACAAACGTCGTCGTAACACACGGCGGGCCACTCACCGCTCAGGCGAGCTTCTTTTCGCGGAAGAGGAACACGCCGAGCAATCCCGCCGGCACGACGAGGATGACAAGCGCCGTCGACAGCAGGACCCACACGAAGAAGACCACGCTGAATCGCTTGGTGGCTACACGACGGCTCAGCTGCTGCTCGCTCAGATGCATGTTGCGATAAGATGTGGCGTCCCGGCTCCAGTTTGCCCTCAAAACGTGATAACGATAAGCATAGGCGTGCGGACGAGGGGCAGCACGCCCCTTCTAATATGCTAAGGAGGAGGCGCTAAGTCTGCCTCATATCTTTACTCAATCAGACCTACCCCGTCAACGTATAAATGTCCAAGCAGGTTTTCTCGTTCTTGTTTATCTAGTGCCCGTGGCGCATACCCACTGTGGGGGGGATTGGCCAAGAATCGAGTGATATTATACAATAATGTGAAGGTTTTCTTGTTCTTGTTGCCCTTCACTTGTGGCTCATACCCACTGAGGGGGATCAGCCAATAATTGAGTGGTCTTATAAAGTATTATTCAATTTTAGAGTAAATGAACTTACAAATTGAAAACGTTACAAACTTTAGAAACAAATTTTTATGATCACTGATCTGTACTTACTACAAAGTTTTTGTATTAGTAATAGATAATAAACTAGATCAAAACCTATATATTTAAAGAGAGAGAGAGCGATAATTCATTCGTTATGAAGCTCGTCTTATTTTGCACTCA